AATGTAGACACACAGTGATCTCCTTTACATGATAGTAAGACAGTTTTTATATTTTCTTGATCTCCAGGATTTCAGTCTTAAAATCAAATTGAACTGAGGCATTCATTTATATTTTGTGTTTAAAAAATTACCCCTGACAACTTGAGTGATTTTAGTGAGACAAATATAGCAAGTAGCTACAACGAAGACGAGACAGTGGGAAAGTGTTACTCACAAGAGTGAACGCACCTTTAAAAATGCATATAGAGCAACTGAGGCCCTGTAGAGTGCTTATAATCAATGGCTTTTATAGAACGTGTTCTTTACAAGAGTACATTTTCTTACATGAGATAATCTTGTCTTGTGGCCAGTTTAAGATTTTTTTTTCAAGCAAAGCATTAGCATTTCAGTTTTGCATTGTTGTGAGACTCAGAATGTTCCATAAGGCACTGAAGGAAAAAAAAATCAGTTCTTTCTAGTAAAAGTTCTTTGCACCATCAGCAATTTGTGTCATTCCCGACACCAAGGAAAGAGTGTAACTGGCTCAGGTGGTCAGGATGTAGGAGGAAGCCTCATTCTCAAATTTTAACCCAATCACTTGGTTCTTCTGGATATCTGCAAAAAATATTGTTATATTTACTTCGCATGAAATAAATGCATCATGAATTCCAACTATAGAGGGCTAGACCTGAAATAAGACTTTGCAGGCACTGCTTTAACATCATTGGCATAGGAATGATTGAATGTTAACCTAGAGAAAAACAATTTAAATATAAACATTTTCCTTCATATCTAAAGACATTTCTTCTTTTTTCAAACAAGCATTAGAGGGTTACATGGAATACCTGAAGTTTGCATTGTGGGGTTGATTTACTAAAGCCAAATAGACTGTTTACTTTGCAAGTGAATGTTCACTTTTGGAGAGAATTTTCGCTTAGCTTAATGTTGGAGCAAAGTGAATGTGTGAAGCTCTGCTGACTTTCAGAATTCAATCATGTGTTAGCAAACATACGGTTTATTTATTTTAATGGCATGTTCTTTGCAAAGTGAATTTTCACCAAATTCACTAAGCTATAGGAAAATGCCCCTGCAAGAGGAACAGCCCATTTGCCTTTAGCAAGTAACCCCAATGACTCAAAACTGCTAGCAAAAGATTCGGGCCTTACAAAGGTGGAGCATATCTGCTTTCCTTTATTTTAGGGATATCAATACGAAGTGTGTCCAGAATATAATGAGAATGAAGTTCCTATGCTTGAGAAGGGCTCTGTGAAGGGAGAAGCTGGCCAAGGTCACTTGAAGTAGGGTGCCAGGTATACGTTAGAAGACTGATCATTTGCATTACAGCCCTGTCTGAGTCAAGAAATTCTTTTTTTGTCACTCCCTGTTCAAGCGCCTCGTATTAAGAAAAATGCAAGCAAGTGTGGAACAGCTGTACTCAATAAAATTTTGTGTGAAATTGGGCAAGTGCATCAGAAACTTTGGAAATGGTGAGGAAAGCTTATGGAGAAGCTGTGCTATCATCCATATAAGTGTACCAATGACACTAGGCCTTCAAGAAAGGATGAGAAGGTGTTGAAGATGAGCAACGATCAGGACACCCCTCTTTGTCAAAAATGGAACAGAATGTGAATTCAGTGAGGTTTGTTCTCAACCGTGACCAACAACTCACTATCAGAATGATTGCAGAGGAAACGGGAATTACCAAGTCAACTGTTCATGAAATCGTAACTCAGGATTTGAACATGAGAAAACGTGATCCAAAGAACTTCTCACCTGATCAGAAGGAACACCGTCAACTTATTTACCAAGACCTGTTGGCTCCTTTAGAAAGAGAGTGATCACAGGAGATAAATCTTGGGTGTATGAGTACGAACCCAAGAAGAAGAAACAGTGTTCAGAATGGCAAACACCTCAACTTAGATCCTTCATCATGACAACACACCGAGTCACAGTGCTTTGGCTGTCAGAGTTTTTGGCTAAAAAACACATTGCGGTGTTTCCCCTTCCACCCTACAGCCCAGACTAGGCTCCCTGCGACTTTTTCATATTCCCAAAGATGAAGAAGGGTTTGAAAGGACACCATTTTGGTAGTGTGGATAACGTCCAAAGAGCCACTTTACAGGCTCAGAACATCATCCCACTTGAACACTTCCAGGGATGCTATGAAAAATGGAAAAATTGCCAGGGGAGTTGTATACACTCACAAGGTACATACTTTGAAAGAGACAATGTTTGATTGTAAAATTGTTCAAAAAAATAATGTTTTCAAATATAGTTCTCATTACTGTCTTGGCACACCTCATATTTCACTAATGTTCATGTCTACTGGTTTTGGTGAATTCATAAAAATCATTTGTATCTACAGGAGATTTTCTCAGATTCTTTTTCTTTATTTTGACACTGATTTGAAAAGAATAAAATCTGAAACTGAAGCATCAAACCACTGCTAAGAGGTCCAAATACAACTCTATTCCAATTAACGTCAGAGGGATAAGTCAATAAGTAGTTAATAGTAAAAAATGGTGAAGTGCTAACAGTAGGTACAAATCACAGCAGATATAAAATGAGCATACACATAACAAAATAAATAGAATCAATAAAGTGACAATACAAAGTATTGATCCAATCGGATCAAATAAAGTGCTGCTGATGGTGAACAGGTGAGACATGTACTCAAACAGGTGAATCCTTTCCCAAATTGGGAAAAAACAGCAACCAGCCACCCCTAGTCCACTAAGGGACTGATACTATAAATCATGTGACCCCCTCTAGGGGTAAAAACATGGCAAAAGTGACCAGTAAATAAATAAAAAATTAATCACCCCTATTAATATGCACATGTAACCATGAACGAAAGTCCAGAGCAAACTGTATATTAATCACACGAGTGCTGGAAATCAGTGTGAGTATACAACATGCAGAGTAGCTGCGGATCAACAGCTGTGTGCTCGTGGTATGTGATCTTCAAACAAGGTGAAAAAATCCTAAATGGCAGAAATGGCCCCTCACCTCAAAGCGGTGACCACAAAGGCCAACTCGCCTTATCGATATCAACACGAAGCCACGTCCAGACCAGGAAGTTGCATGGAATCCACTGCCACTAGCAATCTCAGGTCACACTCCCCATATAGCGTCAAAAATATAAAAACAGAACATCCTCCATAGTGTAAAACCTTTTATTAACATCAATAAGTGAATAAAAAATGCCCACTCACATGTAGGAAATGGTAAAATCGCATTGCCACCACTTGTTATGGGTGTACTGCATGGATCAGATCATACAGGTGTCCAACCGGAAGTGGGTCACTGGAAATGACGTACTGATGCGTTGCGTCATGACCACGTGACTTCCTCAGGGTATACCCACGTGACTTCCTCAGGGTATACCCTGAGGAAGTCACGTGGTCGTGACACAATGCGTCGGTACGTCATTTCCGGAGACCCACTTCCGGCTGGACGCCTGTATGATCTGATCCATGCAGTACACCCATAACAAGTGGTGGCAATGCGATTTTACCATTTCCTACATGTGAGTGGGCTTTTTTTATTCACTTATTGATGTTAATAAAAGGTTTTACACTATGGAGGATGTTCTGTTTTTATATTTTTTGATGCTATGTGGGGAGTGTGACCTGAGATTGCTAGTGGCAGTGGATTCCATGCAACTTCCTGGTCTGAACGTTGCTTCGTGTTGATATCCATAAGGCGAGTTGGCCTTTGTGGTCACCGCTTTGAGGTGAGGGGCCATTTCTGCCATTTAGGATTTTTTCACCTTGTTTGAAGATCACATACCACGAGCACACAGCTGTTGATCCGCAGCTACTCTGCATGTTGTATACTCACACTGATTTCCAGCACTCGTGTGATTAATATACAGTTTTCTCTGGACTTTCGTTCATGGTTACATGTGCATATTAATAGGAGTGATTAATTTTTATTTATTTACTGGTCACTTTTGCCGTGTTTTCACCCCCAGAGGGGTCACATGATTTATAGCATCAGTCCCTTAGTGGACTAGGGGTGGCTGGTTGCTGTTTTTTCCCAATTTGGGAAAGGATTCACCTGTTTGAGTACAGGTCTCACCTGTTCACCATCAGCAGCACTTTATTTGATCCGATTGGATCAACACTTTGTATTGTCACTTTATTGATTCTATTTATTTTGTTATGTGTATGCTCATTTTATATCTGCTGTGATTTGTACCTACTGTTAGCGCTTCACCATCTTTTACTGTTATATTGCACCTATTGGAATCAGGTTAGGCGATAGCAGCTATTCATTGTTGTTGTATTTTATTTTATTTTATTGTCTCCATTTAAGCGCAGGAGGGTACCACCTTTGAATAAGTAGTTAATACGTTTCAGTGCTCCATGAGCACCAACCTTCATCACAGCTTAACTGACAACAATATGAATAGACTAGAAGGGAACTGGACATTTAATGTTATTTTTTCCAGTGTGATTGCAAGCCTAAACCTTGTCAGCAGCTGGTTTGACTGCTCTTGGACCCCTACAATGTGTTGGATACTTTTTGAATTGTTCCCTGACTTTTATTGGAATAAAGTTGTATCTGGACCTCTTACAGTGGTGTGGCACTTCAATTTTAGTTTTTGTTACATTACACTGCAATCCAAGGAGACTGTGAAGGTCATCTCAGAGATTCTTTGCTTACCCCAGTACCAGATAATTTACATCAACATAAATACTTTAAAATAGCAATAACTGCCATAACAGATAGCTATAACAGTGAGATAATGCTATAAGCCAGCTCTAATTTTCCACTTTCCTCTACTTGAAGGGAAAGGAGGAAACATAGGGTGAGAAACAATCACAATTGCTGTGCTCTGACCCATATGTTGTTTTGTAGCCCTATTCTATTGTGCTTCAATCAATATTCTAAAAAAAGAAATAGCATATTAATGTATAACCAGAATAAATACACAGATAAATTAACAAACCATTAAAACAACCAAAACCCAAGAAATTGCATAGTAAATCACTTCATGTGTCTAAGCCATACCCTTAAATTTTAACACTTTCCGTTCCATAGACATTGTAACCTTCTCTGTAAGTAGCGTAATTCTGGGTGCTGGTTGCAGGAGGAGGTTTAAAGTTTTGTGCGTTCTTTGTCAATTTCATTCTTTTTGATTCTGCTCGTGATTTGTAGCAGAATTCTATCAAAGCCACCATCATGGCAAGTCCAAGACCTCCAACAAGAATATAGAATACCCCCGCAACATTACTGAGGCTCAGGGCACTTGTCTTGTCCTAAGAGAAATAGACAACTTTGTTAGTTTCATAGGATACTTGGCCAATGATTGAAACGTTTCTTTTTAAGGCATCCCTAACCTCACAACCCAGTGTTTAAGACCATCATTTTCCTCTTCTAAATCTGACATCACAGTATGCAAGAAAGCAGTACCTTACATGCAAATGTTAACTTTTTATATTGCTTTTACTTTTACTAAGTACACCTGGGATATTGTTCATGCATATATATACTCTTTGAAGCTTTCCACTACAATATCCTGTAACATAATTTCTGATAATGTAACATAATAATCAAGTTGCAACACTATAACTCAAAAGGCATTATACTTTTGCTGAAGTATTATAAGTATAAATCTGAAATACATAGCTATACCTAGCATGGTAACTCACTTGTATATGTATTACTAATTTACATATATCACCATTTTAACGTTTCCTTTGCTGGTCGAGCCTTGGTAAATCTGAGACTATATAAACTTGTTTCTGAGCTATAACTCTTTTGTGCTACAACATATTACCAAAAAAAACTAAATAGCTCAAGGTTGTCTAATTCAGCAAAACCCTGTCAATCTTTTGGAGAACTTTTACATGTATATTGCTGTGTATAAAATTCTGTGTCACTTGATCGAGATTATTGGATGTTAATCTTTCAGAGTATTTAGCATTAATTTCAGCCATATTACTGATAAGCTACCATAATACAGTTCTTTGCATTATACCATAATCTTTTTCACGCAGATTGAAAACTTTAAAAAAGATAGCTGGTGTTAATCCGGATGTACCCTAGAAATGCTAAGTCTTTAATACATCTTAATTCTTCTGAAATGTATTCATTTTGTGCCTGAGAATCTATTACTCAAAACAGTAACATGTCCAAAAAAAAGGAAACAGTGATTTATTTTTGCCAAAACATATTAGAATGCATTTATTAAATCACTTAGGGAGTGACCGACATTGAAATTTTAGTGGTCATTCAATGAGTACTTTAATAAATAAGTCACAAAAATAGGATTGAAGTGCTTTCGCTGAAAAACGTTTCTAAGCAACGTTACAGACTACCTAAACAGCAGCATAAATGAGTGAATGTACATAAAGTATGAAAGTTGAATGGAGTGATCTACTGACACTGTCTATTAATAATGGTAATTTAAATGATAAGACTACATGGAAATAATACACATGTCATATCTCATGATACTTGTGGATCTAATTTACATTAAAAAGTTGATTAAAATATAATAGTATCATCTAAGTGTTATTGTAAAAATTGGTTTATTTAAAGGGAAATAACCAATTTAGCAAATATTACGGAAATTAAATTATAAATGAATAAAACAATTAAATGACCAAGATAGGCTATTGGTTTGGTAAAGTCAAAATGAGTATTGCAGGGAACTGTTTTATTATCAGGAAACTTTCTCTCCATTCTATTACAGTGTTTAACTGTAACTATTTCTGTTTGGTTGTGTTATCGGTAAAATACTATAGCTTGGTTCAGAAGTCTCTAGGTACTGTTGATATATGTTTTCATTACCTCACCCCATCTAGGTACATCTGCTATGATCTTGCACTGTATCGAAAGATAAAGCAACATGTGACTGCGCCTTACTTATAGTAATACAAGGGTTTCAAACCTCTTATTGGATATCTGTGAGGGGCATACATTTTTGGTGCTGAAATTTAATCACCGACATGACTTGGTGAAGAAATTATGTACTGGCACACATTAAAATGAGTACTGGCCCTATAGTTGATAGGTGATAGTTAATAATCAATTAAACAACTTGGGTTATGTTGTTTTGAAAGCTTTGAGTGAAAATGATATCTTAACCTCCCTGGCGGTATGATTATTTCAGATTTTTGGTGCTGAAAGCGGTACCATTTTTTTGCATGGAAATATGTATTTTTTTTATTGTAGGCTGTAATTTTTAGGAAAAACTCACTGAAATCTGTCCGAACAAGAGTCTAGTAAACATCCCGGGTATGATAAAATTTGAAACACAAAATCATAAATTATAATTTAATAAATAATCATAAAATAATATAAAAATAATAAAAAAAATTTAATTCAATAATATAATCAAACCAAAAACACTGAAATGTGAAATATAGCGCCAAGTTCGCACATTGCTGAGCTCAGTCGCAAAATCGTTTTCAGTGTCTGATGACGACTAGTCTAGTAAACATCCCGGGTATGATAAAATTTGAAACACAAAATCATAAATTATAATTTAATAAATAATCATAAAATAATATAAAAATAATAAAAAATTTAATTCAATAATATAATCAAACCAAAAACACTGAAATGTGAAATATAGCGCCAAGTTCGCAAATTGCTGAGCTCAGTCGCAAAATCGTTTTCAGTGTCTGATGACGAATTTCCCCACGAATCATTATCACTCAATTCTGCAAGTGGTTCTAATTTACTATCGCTGTTCTCTAGCTGATCTAAACCGCTTTTGACCTAAAGGGACACTTTTTGGACGCCATGGACATTTCTCAGTTTCCAGGCAGAAAGAACAGACAAAATGCAGGCAGGGCGCAGGACAAAGCACTAGGGACAATATGTATGTGAAATTGGTTGAGACAGCAATGTTTTACTATGTAAAATGTAAAAAAAAAAAAAAATGACATTTTTTAAAATTTTAAAATTTCCCGCCGCCGGCGGTGGCGGCGGCTGCGCCCGTACGTCCCGACGTCACAGGGACAGGACACAGAAGCCGGATGCCGGCATCGGCCGGAGGAGATGGCCGGGGACGCTGCAGGGGACACATCGTGGGAGCGCAGGGTAAGGTAAGTGAAGAACACATGCCAGAGCAGCGCCGCATGGTATTCCCGAGTGTAGCTCGGGGTTACCGCTTTTGGTACTGAAATGTTACCCCGAGCTACACTCGGGAATACCGCCAGGGAGGTTAAGGGTTAACTACTGACAAGCAGCTAATTATCAAGTTTTATAAATATCAGAGTTCTCCTTTAGGAAATGCAACTAGGTCATCACCTGTCTCTAGGGAAACCAATAGGTGGGTACAGCCAGCCTTTCTGACCACATTGGACCAACAGGAGCTGTCTGTGGTTGGCCCACACAGCTTCCACCCGACCAGAAACCGCTCTATGAATTGTGTCTCGCAGCTCAGCTGTGCTCGGAAAAACAGTTCCACTCTCTCAGCCAGCAGCACTATCCTTCCCACTGTCTCGGAGATCAGCGCAGAAATAAGTATGTGACTAGATCCAAAGAACAAAAGAGCCACACCAACTATCAAGATGCATGAACAAGGATCCACAAGCCAGCACTGTCATACCAGTGGATGCATGTGTGCTGAAGTGGTGAATTGAGGGTTCGGTATGCCTGGGGCAAAACTTGCTGCAGAAGAAGTCTCTACAAACTGGATGTGGGTGAAAGGGCAGTTAGGGGGCAGTGCCAGGGGAGAAGCATGCTGTACAAGGGTGCTGGTTCTAATGATAGATCTTCAGTGCTGAGCTAGAACTGTTATGGAAGAAGCAACATTTTTCTGATAGCTATATATGTATATATATATGTTCCATACTACTGACCCCTGGACACTATGTTTCCTACTCATGACCCTTGACTCTACTTTCTGTACTCCTAACCCCTTAAATTATGCATTCTATACTTCTGGCCCCTGAAGCCTGTGTTCCATACTCTTGACTTCTTTACTCTGTGTTCTATACTCCTGGCCCCTGACCTCTGTATTCCATATTCTTGAACCCTGAACTCCACTTTCCATACTCCTGAATCCTGAACTCTGGATTCTGTACTCATGATCCCTGAACTGTGTTCCATACTCCTGACTCCTCAACTTTGTGTTCTATACTCCTGACCCCTGCACTTTGAATTCCATACTACCTGGCCCCTGAACTCTGCATTCTGTACTACTTATCCCTGAACTCTGCACTCTATACACCCTGACCCCTAAACTCTGCTTTTTGTACTCCTTACCCTGAGCTTATCATTCCATACTCCTGACTCCTGAACTCTGTTCCATACTCGTGAACTTTGCGTTCTGTTATGTATTCTTGATCTCTGTGTTACATACTATTGACCTTAAATTCTGTTTTACATACTATTGATCTCTGCTTTACATAGTCTTGATCCCTGAAATCTGCATTACATACTGTTGCCACATTCACAATTTGCAGTGGCACGCCATGCATGACACCTCATTTTTCTCCTTTGGGTGACTAAGGGGGAGGAAGGGGGCCCTGCCAGGTAGGCTGCATGGGGTTCAATGATTTTTAACTGTGGCCCTGCCGTTCCCTATCATACACGTATGATCTGCAAATAAGAAATAGTAGTAAACCGATATGATCTCCAATCTGGTTTCTTTCACTGTAAACATGCTACTTTTGATAGGACAGAATTATGTATTGTGCTAGTTTTATGCAAAAATACAGTTAAAGATGAAAAAAACAAACAAATTAAGCCATAGCTGAATTAATTAGTGTTCATTTATGGTTTCCTAAAGTCCATCTTTAATTTACAGTTAAGCTGCAGATCAGGGGTTAAAGGCTTAAGTTTAGGGTAAAATAATTGTTAAGGTACGGTTTTTGAAAGGTATGGTTTAGTTTTAACAATAGCTTTACTGTTAAGGGTTCAGTTTACATTTTAGGGTAGGTGTTAGTGGGTTAGATTAAGGTGTAGGGTAAATGATTGCTAAAATAGATATAGGGGTCTATTCATAAAAAAAAAATCACTGGACAAAGTGAGAATATGCATCTAATATGTGTATTTCCTATGACCATTAGCTCCATCGAATGGCCATAGTGCAGTATTTTCCTGAAATAATGTAATTAGAAAATGCCTATTTCTACTTCAGAACCTGGGCAGAACTCTTGTCAGTTTCACATACTCATAGTGAATTTCCCACTTATGTGCACTTTGGGTTGATTTAGGCAAATAGGTTGTTCACTTTCAAGGGAACTTTCCTTTTGTTAGAAAATATTCCCTTACCTTGGTGTGCCAATTATTGTATAATCAAGATTAAACTGGAATTTATAACTGTATACGTAGCCAAGATTGCAGACCCCATCTGAAAGTAGGGATGAGATTGAGGTTCAAGCCAATGGTAAGCTCACCCTGAACTCTAGTTGTTCAAGGTTTGAGGTTTGCCTAATGGGCAAGCTAAATGGTCTGATTTGGTCAGTTTGTCCACCCAAAGCCTTCAGCTGCTATAGCAGTTGAGAATGATTCAGTAAATGGTGGTATTGCTATTTTCACAAAAAAAAAGCTTCCTGGCCCACCTGCTGGTATTTTCCCATGATAAACAAGCCAGCGGGTATTCCAAGTGACATCATTGGCCAAATATGGTTATGACTATATTTATTTAATATTTAGTTAAGTTTCCAGCACTGCTGTTTGCATTCCAGCAGCACCAAAAGGCTGTCATTTGCGACAGAAGTCTAGTTGGAAAGGATCGCCACATGCAGATAATGTTCCTGTTGGCAGGTCATCACTGCATCATTCATCACAATTGATGATGGATCTATCGATGTTGCTGTACATCGTGACTGATGATGATCACCACTGGTCAAGGATATGGAATTGAGGAATTGTCCATGCCAACATGGAGACATGGTGTCTAGCAGGGTACTCTCCCAATGTTAGGGGCATGTGGCCTGGTATGATTCCAGAGGGAGACAAACGTGCTTGTTGCTTTTTTATTTCTTAGCCAGCCAGACTGCAGGCCTAGATAAGGGTCCAATATGGCTTTTGCTTTTTTTCTCCTTGCTTTCCTAGCCACCCAAGATACATGCCTGAGAAGGACCATAATTAATGATACCTTTCAATCTATGAATAATTGGAGTTAATTGGAGTTATTACAATCTTTTACCCATTCATGTATAACAGAAAACTTATAATTTAGCCACCAAGAGCATAAGAAATAACTATGCTGTTTTGCCTTGGTTCCAGGTAGGTTATTTTGATTACATGATCTATGCTGAATGGGGAATAAACCATGCAAATCACTTATCCTCTCTTTCCGCAGAAATCACATAACCAAATGCATTGGCTTTTAGCTATGTGACCAGCACTATAGGAATCCTACAGCAGCATTTTCTGAAGAAAAGGTAAACTTTCACTATTCTTACTTTCTTGCCAGACTGTCAACATTACTTCAGGTTAATTTCTCAGTAAAGGCCTGCTTCAAAAAAACAACAGCTTCAATTACCAGTAGCACTTATTTTTATACAATATATTACTAGGAGCTGGGCACTATCACATAAATGCTATATAGACTTAATTTGGGGTATAAATACGTTATATACAAAGTACAGTAACCCATAGCAACCAATCAGAAATCACCTCTTAGTCATGTGACTGACTAGTTGCTATGTGATTTTGCACTTTGTATAGTTTATGTACTTGCACCAATGTATTAACAAAGTCCACTTTATGCTTTAATACAATTTACCCACAGTAGCCAATCACCACAGTCATGAGATCGATTTTTTTTATCTCAAGGTTGTGTTGATTTTTCAGTTTTTTTTAGAAATCAAAACACATACTGGTTAGGTGAACCTGAAGAATGACTGCAGTAGAAGTATTAGATTGTGAGCTCTTTTTGAAAGGGCTTAATGTCCTTGGTTATATGTACTCCATGAAGAACTACTAAATGTCAGAGTTAAACAAATGCATGAAGTGAGAGAGGTTTGACAGGTTTTCAAAAGTACAACATTGTATTTTTGCATTCTAATCGTTCTTTATTTCCCTTTAAATAAATAACTTTATATAGCACACTATCCCTATGTGTAAAATTACCATAGAAAATGTCTGAAAACAAAATATAAAAATGGGAAATATATACTAAGTTTGACATCATCCAGTGTGATGACTGATGCATAACTTATGCTGGGATGTGCTACTATCAGCCATTAGTAAATCCTGCTTATTCAGTCTGCCATGATATAAGCCTTGCTGATCCCTATGTTTTTGATATACTGTGTTTAAAAAAATAAATAAAAGTTTGTGTGCATGAACGGTGAGTCAAAATGGGACTTCTATTCAATGCAAAAGACCTTCTGCGACTGACCTTACTTCCGGAGTCCTTGGCTCCACATTCACCCTTATCGTACCACCATTTGTTTTTCAGCTTGTCTAAGATGCCTTGTTCACTGAGTTTCAATACTGCAAGGTTTACGGGAGTTCTTCACGTGGGAAATAACATAAATAACATTATATTATGTTATTTTATGTTATTCAAGCTTAACACTATTTTCATACTATACAAAGCGATAAAGCAGGGACCCTGGACACAAAGATCTTGAACTGCAGGCAACCTGAATATCACCTTAGTTTTAACACTACAAGTGACACTAAATTACCAGGTCCTGCCTATATCGCTTTGAGTAATCGGCACACACTGTTAAACGGATAACAATGACAAAATTTAACTGGCACCAGGTTTTAGATTTCATACTCCTATACTGATTTGAATTCAACAGTAACCTTTATGAATAAAGAAGGGTTCTTTGTGATACCTTTTCCACTGAGATATAGTGAGCATTGTGAGGAAATAAAGCTAATATCAGACAGGTTTCCGGTTATGTGTAGTTGTTCTGTGACCTGGCAATGACAGATAGAAATTTGCTTTTGATGAAGATTAAAGTTGTTTTACTTTCTATAAAAAGTTCTACGTTCTATAAAACTAGCATTTTAGTTCATTTTCCTGCAAGAGGCCTTTCACTGAATTGAACTGACACTAAAAATGCAGCATACAATTTTTAGATAGTGTAGCATTTAAATGTTATATGTCTACACTAGGAAAAGTCCAGGAGTCCCACTAACTTTGACTTTCCATGTAACAGTACAGATTAAAAAAAGGCATAAGGGACTAGCACTTAGCCTAAATTCACCACATCACATTTTTTAAAATATCCAAAACATGAATAATGTAGATGGAACTTCTAATGTACACAAAATTATACTTTGAAAAAGAATATTGTAAAGTTATAGTGAAGACATGTTCCATTCATTAGCCATATTATACACTGGCAAGAGGAACACTACTTTAACATGTTTCACACAAATATGCTTCTTCAAGGAAAATATATAACAAGTAATAGACAAGATATTCAAAAGAAATCATGCTGTAGCCTCCAAGAAAAAAAAAACATCCTTCCTTTATGGATCCATAGAATTTCTGGATCTTCATATCACGAGTATCAAGAGAACAATGGTGTCCTGCATACCAGAGGGGATAAAAGACTTTCCATAGGTGGCATCCAGGACCCTATACTTCCTCTTGATATGGTCCCAATTACACCTAAAAGTTCAGTCTACTTATTCATGTTTTGCATATACCTATATAACAGACAGTTTGCCCTGGATTCTAGTGTTCATGGATGTGTTCAAAAATTGAACATAATTGTCATACTTTTCAGAAGCACGTACTCACCTTTCCTTTGCTCCCCTGCTGCTTTATTCTATGTGCTGCTCCTGTGGCTGGCATTAAACAGAACATGTTGCTTTACTCTGAATGGACATAAGGGAAACTAAAAAATGGGACACTGACAGATAGTTGCTCAAGGTTTAATTAAAAAGCCAAACAATTGCATTTGTTAACCTTACTGCAGCATCAGTTTAGACAACCCATAAACTGTTATTCCAGACATCTGTCTATATGAGCCCACTACAGCTAGTATTACAAGTCTGATTCTTTACCTTGCAAAGGATCAGACAGAAAATGACTATAGTGTGCAAAAAGCATAGACGTATAGCTGTATATTCTTCTATTCCTCTCACCTTACAAATATACTTTTAATAACAGCCCTGAATATTATATTAATTACATTTCACAAATGCCACCTTGTGATAAATTTCTACTTTATAAAAATCCCCACCATATATATTACTCACTACCAAAGAAACCAATTTCACCTATTTCACTAAGTTAGGAATTTTTAAGTAATGCACAAAACTCTGCTACAATACCATTTTGCCCAGATGTCACAACCTAATATTTTGCACTTATAAGATGTTTCCTTAGTATAAAATGTAGCCCTCATGTAAATTTTAAAAAAAACCCTATTTCTCATTAACCTTTTGATAAACTATAGTATGTTGATTTCTAAGTGGAAAAGGCATCCAGAGGTATATACCAAACATATGGCATACATTTTAAAGCTACTGTGAAAATAATAGACTTTTTTCATTAGTTATTTAGTTAACTTTTGGTCTTTTTCATGGCTACTGAAATAACAGTCTTGCCGATTACTCTTGACTAAGGTACCCGATTGTGGTGACATTGAGGCTGACCTTGGAGTCACCTCCCCCGCTGCCGCATTCTCCTTTGTCGTACCACCATTTGTTTTTCAATTTGTCCAAGAGTCCTTGCTCATTCAGTTTTAATACTGCCAGGTTAACAGCATTTCTTGAAACGATAAAACATAACTTGTAAGAAAATGTACAAGAGGCTTTTAGGAATAGAGTTGTGCGAATATCTTTAGATGTCCTTTGCAAACGTTTTTGCAATGTATTTTTGCTTTAAAGAAAAATAATTTGCAAAAATTTTTAGTGGACAGTATAACTTCAAATATCGATTTTATTTAATAGATCATAAATCATTTTTGATGTATCAGCAATTAGCTGTTTTGAATATTTTTCTTTGTCTTTTTAAAACAAATTTTATCTGAATTCAGCAAAAAAAATTTAAAAAAAATCGCACATCTCTACCAAGGAAATTGTAATATTTAGGAGCACAAAGGACAAATTGTCTAAGAGATTTAAATAAGGCTATAAAATTAACAATAGCAAAGACTAGTTCACGTATAATAAGGTGGTTTGTGCTTTGGGATGGGAGTGTTATCCATTTAACTAAAATATGCAGGATGGAGGGGATAAGGGACCACTGTTCAGACTATTAAACACAAAATCCACGTCATGCAATTACCATTCATCACATACATCAATTGAATATGGCTTTAACATGTAAATTAAAAAGCCATGAAATTGTAGAAATAAAACGCAGAAGGCAAACAGAAGGCAAAATGTGAATAAAACTGTACCAATTACCATCTTGCCAGGATAAACGTGTTAACCATGTTACCTCAAATATCCATAAAAAAAGTAAAAAAAAAAAACCACAACACATCAGGGAAGGTGGAATACTATAACAACACAGATATTGTTATATTATTCCACCCACCTTAATGCTGAGCCTTTTGGTGTTGCCACTCCGTAGCCTTTGGAGTCGAGGTTTCCTCCAACTTTCATGGTGTCACATGGCTTTCTTTGCTCAATGTATTCATTCATCGTGGATTCCAGCAAGAAGGCAAACTTTCCTTTAGACTTCCGAACACGAGCCACACCATCGTCTGTGGTTTTAGTAAACACAGATGGTTCTGCAGACTTCATATAAGACCACATTTTCTCATAGACTGCTATTTTAGAACGCTGGTGGTAAAAAAGGAACAACAAGGTTTATTAGTCAAATTACATTTATATTGTTTTTCATCTCAATAATGTTCTCAAACGAGCAAAGATTTAAAAAATGAAAATGTGCAAGTATCTTGTAATAAATATCTGATCAAACTATTATGTTGGATACTTTCACTGCCAATATAAAGTATTCACATACAATAAGAGCACTGCCTAAATATGATACATATACTTAAATGCTCAGCAAAAAAATTATTAATGGAATAATTTTTTTGCTGAGTTGCATTTTAGTATATGTATCATAATTAAGCAACATTCTTATTGTATTTGGTTTCTGTGTAGCAGATCTTGCCTGCATGGAAGCAGCAGCCTAATAATAGGTTTATTCATTTTTTGCATCACTGGGTGTAGATTGTGGACACTAGTATCTACTCTTTACATCAGCACTTAGTTTAGCATTTTTTGAGTTGCATTTATTGGTGATTTATATTTTTTTTGTGTCATTGAGTTGTATTTTTGCTGAGTTGCACTATGCTTCTATACTTCTAGGCAGTGCTTTATGTGTGTTGTCTGTATGTAGCATTTTTTCACCTGAATAGAAGCAGCAGCACATTAACAGGTTTATTGCTTGATTGCATTCATTATTGGGTGTAGGCTAATGATTTCGTTGTCCTAGCCGCGGGTTAATAATTATATATTGCAATATAAAGTATTACAACATAAGCATCATCATATCAAAACTCAGCTGTCTTTTATGTCTAAAATCATCATAAAACACATACAGTTGCAAGAAAAAGTATGTGAACCCCTTGGGATTACGTGGAGTTTTGCATGAATTGGGCATAAAATGTGCTCTGAACGTCATCTAAGTCACAACAATAGAAGAACACAGTCTGCTGAACATAATACTATACAAACATTAGATGTTGCCATGGTTTAATTGCACATAACATGTAAATATTCACAGTGCAGGGAGGAAAAAGTATGTGAGGCCCTAGCTTAATGACTTCTCCCAGAGCTAATTGGAGCCAGGAGTGAGCCAACCTTGACTCCAATCAGTGTGATGATATTGGATGTGTTGCTGACAGCTGTCCTGCCCTGTTTTGGGTTTACTGGTTTCAAGAAGCACTGTCTGATGTGAACCATGCCTCACAGAAAAGAGCTCTCAGAAGACCTACGATCAAGAATTGTTGACTTGCATGAAGCTGGAAAGGGTTACAAAAGTATCTCCAAAAGCCTTGATGTTCATGTGTCCACGGTAAGACAGACTGTCTACAAATGGAGAATGTTTAGCACTGTTGCTACTCTCCCTAGGCGTGGTCGTCCTGTAAAAATGACTGCAAGAGCACAGCGCAGAATGTTGCATGAGGTAAAGAAGAATCCCAGAGTGTCAGCTAAAGACCTACAGAAATCTCTGGCACATGCTAACATTTTTGTTGACACATCTACAATAAGGAAAACATTAAACAAGAATGGAGTACATGGGAGGATACCACAGAGGAAGCCATTGCTGTCCAAAAAGAATATTGCAGCACGTTTGAAGTTTGCAAAAGAGCACCTGGATGTTCCACAGCACTACTGGCAAAATATACTGTGGACAGATGAAACCAAGATTGAGTTGTTTGGGAAGAACACACAACACTATGTGTGGAGAAAAAAAGGCACAGCACACCAACATCAAAACTTCATCCCCACCATCATGGTTTGGGGCTGCTTTGCTGCCTCAAGGCCTGGACGGATTGTTGTCATTGATGGGAAAATGAATTCCAGAGTTTATCAAGACATTTTGCAGGAAAACGTGCAACCATCTGTCCGCCAACTGAAGCTCCGCAGAGGATGGGTGATGCAACAGGACAATGACCCAAAGCATACAAGTAATTCAACAAAACAATGGCTGCAACAGCACAGAATACGCCTTCTGGAGTGGCCCAGTCAGAGTCCTGACCTCAACCCGATTGAAATGCTGTGGCATGACCTTAAGAGAGCGATTCACACCAGACATCCCAAGAATATTGCTACACTGAAACAGTTTTGTGAAGAGGAGTGGTCCAAAATTACTCCAGATCGTTGTGCAGGTCTGATCTGCATATATATAAAAGATGTGGCGAGCGCTTCTTGTATAACAATAAAAAATATATAAGCAGCTAAAGCACTGAAAGGAGATCACAACAGCCTCAAGTGAAGATAGATAAGTAAAAGTGCAGCGCTAAAAATAAACAGAAAATTCGATCTAGAAAGTTCTGGTCTAGAAAATTCGATCTAAAAAGTTCGTTCTGAAATTATCAAAAGTTCATAGAATCAGCGATAAAGTAGATGTGACACAGCTTATGAGAAATCCGGAACAAATGGCAGAAGTGCGCACTCACCGACCGCGCATAGGAAATGCGCATATGTTTAATCAATTCTGCAGAGTATCGATCTCCCTCAGGAAGGGGTGTTATCATGCGATGGTCAGCTGGGCTCACAGAACCTCCCAAGGATCGGGATAGATCGGCCGGATACAGACTCCAGGTGAAGGCTTCCCTCCTCTGGATGAAGTGGAAAACGGTGTCTGCTGACCCCTCAATAAGGGGCAAAGAGTGGGAGAGTACCCATAGTGTAGTATTTCAAAAGATAACTTTTATTGGTAATAAACAGTGCAGGGTATATCAGTAGTGATGCTAGGCAGATGGCCAGACATATAAAGTGAATAACATAGATAAAAAGCAAAACCACTGACCCTGAATGAAGAAGCCGCCAGACCTCCTCGTGGTCTGGGCGGCAATAAGGCGTCACAGGCTGTCAGTTCCTCCTGAGGCCTTTCGTGCTAAGGCACATCATCAGAGGGGATACTGACACTATCCCCTCTGATGATGTGCCTTAGCACGAAAGGCCTCAGGAGGAACTGACAGCCTGTGACGCCTTATTGCCGCCCAGACCACGAGGAGGTCTGGCGGCTTCTTCATTCAGGGTCAGTGGTTTTGCTTTTTATCTATGTTATTCACTTTATATGTCTGGCCATCTGCCTAGCATCACTACTGATATACCCTGCACTGTTTATTACCAATAAAAGTTATCTTTTGAAATACTACACTATGGGTACTCTCCCACTCTTTGCCCCTTATTGAGGGGTCAGCAGACACCGTTTTCCACTTCATCCAGAGGAGGGAAGCCTTCACCTGGAGTCTGTATCCGGCCGATCTATCCCGATCCTTGGGAGGTTCTGTGAGCCCAGCTGGCCATCGCATGATAACACCCCTTCCTGAGGGAGATCGATACTCTGCAGAATTGATTAAACATATGCGCATTTCCTATGCGCGGTCGGTGAGTGCGCACTTCTGCCATTTGTTCCGGATTTCTCATAAGCTGTGTCACATCTACTTTATCGCTGATTCTATGAACTTTTGATAATTTCAGAACGAACTTTTTAGATCGAATTTTCTAGACCAGAACTTTCTAGATCGAATTTTCTGTTTATTTTTAGCGCTGCACTTTTACTTATCTAGGTCTGATCTGCAACTACAGGGAACGTTTGGTTTGAGGTTATTGCTGCCAAAGGAGGGTCAATCAGTTATTAAGTCCAAAGGTTCACATACTTTTTCCTCCCTGCACTGTGAATGTTTACATGTTATGTGCAATTAAACCATGGCAACATCTAATGTTTGTGTAGTATTATGTTCAGCAGACTGTGTTCTTCTATTGTTGTGACTTAGATGACTTTCAGAGCACATTTTATGCCCAATTCATGCAAAACTCCACGTAATCCCAAGGGGTTCACATACTTTTTCTTGCAACTGTAACTAATATATACTACATTTTCAATCAAAGCTGAATTCTGTCCAAAAGCACTATTTGGAATAATACCATATATGCACTGTGTAAAATAAATGAGCAGGAATTAAGTGTATGCCATGTGTGTAGAATGCAGTGTTCTGTTAAACTCTTACTTTCATTCACCCTGTACAGTATAGTAGAGACTTACACAATGTGTGTAGGCTGCAATATACAGATCAAAGTGGATCCCTCACTCCACACTTCTCACATTCAGCAATTGTCTTGCATGTTTTCACTGAATGCAAAATGTTCTCTGATTGGGGGAGGGGAAATTGGGACATACATTGTCACCTTCTCCATTCACAAAATGTTTTGCATTCTATGAAAAAATAAACAGTAAAACAACAACAAAACAATAGGCAGGGTGCACAGTGCACTAATAACACAAGAAAAACTTTATTACACACACAATTGAACTTACAGAATATATTAAAGCAAACATTTTTTTTTGTAAGCCCACAGAAGGAAACCAACAACTCTCTCTGTGCCAGCGGAGAACCTGTGTCTGCAATGTAGGCTGTATTAAAAGCTGATTAGAAGAAGGAATGCTGAGCCCAGTGTGACAAGCTGCTATTGGGATTGTGGTGGTGTTCAATGGCATCTTAACAGCTCAGAGTAGTACAGGGCTAAAAAAAAAAGTTTTCAGAAGAGCAGTATTCTCCTGTGGACGGTGCACCATTCCAGTCCTTTTGGAAAGTGGCTGCAGAACTAGTGCTTGTTTCTAAGACAAAGACTATTCTAAATGCAAAAAAGATTCCTTTTACAGTGATTCCCCCAATCACAGAACTCCTTTCATTCCATGAATATAATGCAAGATATTTACTAAAAAGATCAGGTGCCAAGTAAGCGACCTGCTATGATCTGTGTACCGCAGCCTGAAGTGTAAGTCCCTGCATCAGATGTTCAGCTCTTACTCTTCTGTACGGGGTGAAGGAAAGTAAGAGTTTTACAAAGTGCTGCATCCTACATATCTGTACATGACACACAGTCCATTAGTGCTAATTTATTATTACAGTGAACATGTATTGCTTTTGGCCAGAGTTCAGCTTTGCTATATAGCCACCTTTAAATAGCAGTGTCTCACTCAGGTCTCTGTTATACAGTCTACTGAAGTTAGACCACCATTTCAAGTATCCACAGTCATTGCCTTGCCATGTCTATGAGTAGGATCAGCTATCCTTGACTGGATCTTTTCAGAATACTATTTATCCATTGGGGTATAATTATCATAGATTCACTTGGTTAGGTGTTCAGTGAATATTAGTCCCATTAATTTGTTTCAAGATTCGACAGGATTCACCTAGTTTTACCTGCATTCACTCTATTATGTTTTGGTAAATCTTATTAAATAATGTGAAAAAAACCCCAGCATAGCCCCCTTGCCAGAACAAACTATGCGAGGACAGCAGACAGGCAAGCTGGTTCTCCCATAGCAAGGGATTAGCTTGTTAATGGCTATCAGATCTCAATAGTATTACAAGGCTTTATGATCTATGTAGTCTTTTATGATCTTTAAGAACTACTGGTAACATTACCTCACCTAGACTTTAGAGTATATAGTACCTGTCCACTCTTGCTCATGGTTCCATGACTTCCAATCAACCTTATGGGTTATGAATATGGGCTTCTGAACTTCTGCAGTGGACTTATGCAGTAAGCCACAATATTACCTGATGCCATTAGACTCAGTCTTGTTGAGCCTATTTTCTCTTCAGAATACAACATACAGTAATTTTAGGTTGACATTGATTTGGTTTTCAACCTATACAAATTTCTCCTGGGAAATCAATGTTCTTGTAATTGGGCTGTGAACCCCTGATCTCTGTTGCCTTGCAAAGCTTATACCACAAGTGTCAAACTGGCAGCCCTCCAGCTGTTGCCAAACTACAAGTCCCATGAGGCATTGCAAGATTGATAGTTACAAGCATGACTCCCAAAGGCAGAGGCATGATGGGACTTGTAGTTTTGCAACAGTTGGAAGGCGGCCAGTTTGACACCCCTGCCCTATACCATTATAACACCACTCAAGGTGCGCTCATAAATCTGTTGTCTCAAAGCACTATAAAGGTACATGCTGTCTGATGCTTAATCCAGAAAGAAGTAAAGTAGGAGGAGTTGAGAGATGCCATACACCATTAGCTCAACCGGTGAAGAGAAATGTGAATGGCCTCAGCCATGAGCTCCTTCTGAGCCCCGCCTCTGATGCATTTTACCCCACCCACTGGGGTTTAATCATATAGAGGAGGGAGTGGAACAACCCAAATAGAAAATAAATAGCAAAATTGTGCCAAGCTATTTTAGCACTGGTTGCTGTCTTTTGGGACCTGTGAAGTGTCCCAGAAGGCTGTGTTGGAAGGGAGGTAAACTTCTGGCTCAGATTTCTGTGGGGTATCTGTCTGGGGCTGGGAGGTACCTGTCAGTGGGGTGGGGGGGTGGATGCATACGCGCAGAACTTCACCTTTTGGGTTAAATTCTGCTTTAAGCCCCGATGGGTATGGCAAAATGCCTCATGGACAGAGCTCAGGAGGAGCTCATGGCTGAAGCCATTTACATTTCTCTTCACCTGTTCAGCTAGTGGTGTGCGGTGTTTCTCCTCTGCTCATACTTCTGTTTGTTGTCTGCCACCGTCTACCTGCTACCAGGAGCTTCCTTAATTTTTCCATATGTCCCAGTCTAGAATTTATGCTGCTTACCCTGATCTCACATAGATCATTTGAGTTTCATACAAAACTTGTCCAACCTCTGCTTGGCTACTTAGCCTTGAACTTACAAAGTCTGGCTTGACCCTGAGCTACTTGTAACATGATCCAAGCACATTGTTGTATTGCCCACTCTCCTTTCCATTGTAATATACACTTTTCCTTTAATTTGTCTTGTTTTAATTGAGGAATTAACATAATCATGCTCATTTTTCTAACCAGCAATTCCATCCTTTGAGAGTGGCTGACAAAAAAGCACAGTCTGAGGTCCTACTTTTAAATCCAGTGCAGGTTATTTTTTATATAGTTTGTTTGTGTTGTTTTTTTGTTTTATAACTACTCCATTTAACTCCTACAATTCATACAGTACATTTGCTATTAGGTAAAGTGCCTCAGCCATCAATAAAATGTGTCAGCATGTCTGATGATAGTATTAATATTAGTTTTTCTGAAGCACTGATACAGGAACTTTGATTGCAATATTAATATGAACCAGAAAAGTAAAATTAACATACCCTGAAAAATTCTTTGGTAGAGCCTGAATCCAATGTGCCATAAGCTATTTCTGTTTGTTTAGCCAAATCCTCTGCACTCTCTATAGGAGACACCATTCTTTCCACTGTAAGGAAAGCAGCTAAATTGGCAGTATAGGAGGAGATTATGATTAAAGTGAAGAACCACCACACTCCTCCAACTATTCGCCCAGAGAGGGATCTGCAAGATAAAGGAGATTAGATATTTATCCACGTAATCTAGAAAATCCTTCTCTACAAAAGAGGCACCAATATCTCCCAGAAGTCACACAACTGAAAATAAACACAGATGATGATAAAAAAATAAATAATAATAATCACTTTTTTTGTTTACTATATTTAAATTGTGAGGCAATGATAATAAAACTATAAATAAAACTGCTGTAAAGCAGCACTAAGAGATACAAAATAAGTTATGCTAAATGAAAAGTTTGTATGCGTATCTAGATCAAAAATAATTTAGGATAAAAAAATCAATTACTTAGTTCTTGAAATGTCAGATGCAGAGTGCCGGTTTGAACCGCATCCAATCCACATGAGATGTGAAATAACATGGCTTCCTATGGTGCCTGTTCACATATGTCTGGTGCACTGGCAGTGCAGATGCAGCCCGGACTGAAAAAGAGTCATGTCCAATTTCTGAGCAGTACGGTCCGGATCAGGTGCGGATTACAGGCTATTGACTTCTATGGGAACCGTTTCTAAACCGCATATGTGTGAACAGGATAAGATCCGGAGCTAATCTGTCCTGAACCTGATGTAAACCTGACTTGAACCGCTGAAAAACTACTGTGTCAATTAGCTGTGAAACCTGAGCTTCAATCTGCACCGCACATGTGTGAATCAGCACTCAGTTCTGCATAAAACATTAATTGAATTGACATATAAATGTCATAAAATTGTGATTTTTTTTTATACAGGTATAGCACATATTATTATGTAACTAATTTCCTTATAAATACATTTTAGTTATGGTTGATAACAAAAGTATAAAATAATATACTTTCAAAGAGAATTCTTAGTTTGATATAGTTGTGTGACTATTCCTTGTTCATTGTGTACCTATAGACATGCAGTATTTTCATCTGTATGATTATATGCCATCTTAGTCCATGCAGGTGAATATATATCAGCTCATCATCTCAGGTGTTATAACCCCCTCTGACTTCTGTTATAGATGCATTAATAGAATAAGCTTGTCAAATATGCAGAGTGTAACCTGACCAATGCTATTCCAGGTGCGTTGCTGATGTGCCTAGTCTGTAAGAGAGTTTACCATCCATGGCAATGGCCATATCTTCATGGCACAATAGAAATATTTGTTATTACTTGCAAGAGGCACATGCACACACCACTGCAGCCTTTGAACAACTTTATCCTCCATGTCAATCATTTAGAATTCAAGCATGTATCTGTTGGTCCTGAAAGTCAATGGCAGCCCCTGAAAAGTCAATGTCACTTTCACTGCATATAAACTACAGGTGACATTTGAAACCTTTTCAAATGGTTAGAAACGTCTTTGCTACTAACTTGAGAGACTAAAAAATAAAATAAATTCAATGTACAGAAATCTTTTAAAATTAGCTATAGAAAGGTCTCTGTAAAACAGTGTCTCAAACATTTTTTTGTCCAATTTTTAAAGCTTTCTGTAGGGTGTAAAGACCTCTACTCACTCTGCACTGGGTTTCTGAACTAGTGATATGTACCCCTTGATGTACTTCTGATAGATTCTAACAGATTCAAGAGGTACCAATCATTAAAGCAACTTGAAAGGACAAGCAATGTAATAACATTGCAGGGGTCACACCTTAAAATTTGGAAGTTACCGTTGTGGAGGTTTAAACATTCTAGTCTATTATAACATTTAGTTCTGAAAATGATATATTGCTAAATGTAGTTAGGCAGTAATTGTGGTGCAATATGCCCTTCCTAACGTTGGCCATATTTTATACAATCTGATTGTACATTCTCCTATAGATCTACCATTGACCATGTAGTGCAAGGGTCTGCCTGACTGGATACCAACTGATTGCACATACTAGGTAGGTCCTCATAATTTTGGTAACTCTAAAGATGATTGCACAAAAACTGTATGTTCAGATTGTAGCGTGTATGGTGACCCTTAGACCTATTTACAGCAATGGTATTTTAATCAGATTGACTCAGTATCTATTTTTGGGACATGTGATCCAATAAGGTGCAAATAAATATGTCTAGTGTAGTAACAATATCAACCAAAACACAGATTTGGCAGATATAAGATAAAAAGCTTCCCTTGTGATGTCATAAAACTTATTTGCCGGTCTCTCCAACTGGGCAAACACAGCATCAACAGCAGATTAACACCTCAGCTTCATGTTAAACAATTACATAGAGGGAAGAAAACAACAAAAGACACCAAATGCAACAAGCCAAACCTTCAAATCGTTTAGATGGCTTCAGCTCTCTACAGGGAATTTAAATTCACAAGTTACTACATTTATCTGTCACTGTCAACGTTTCCATGATAACTAACTGACTAACTAACTAAAAAACATACCTGAGTTCTCTGCTAACCACTGGAAAAAAATATGTGCTGCAGCACTTAATTTGCACTTCCAGTTTTCTTTTAGTCCCCCTGCAAAATTCCACAAATATATGTTGGTCTTGCCAGTGAAATTCACCTAAAGCAGCTTCCTTTGATGGTGAAAAAATGATGCTGTACCATCCCTGAATTTAACCACTAGCCTACTGGACACTTATACCCCCTTCCTGCCCAGGCCAGTTTTCAGCTTTCAGTGCTGTCACACTTTGAATGACAATTGTGCGGTAATGCAACACTGTACCCATATGAAATTTTTTATAATTTTTTTTGAGACAGAGTTTTTTTTTGGTGGTATTTAATCACCTCTGGGTTTTTTATTTTTTGCTAAACAAACCAAAAACAACTGAAAATTTTGAAAAAAAAAAGGTTTTTCTTAGTTTTTGTTATAAAATTTTTTTAATAAGTGATTTTTCTCCTTCACTGATGTGCGCTAATGAGGCTGCAGTGATGGGCACTGATAGGCTGTACTGATGGGCACTGATGAGGAGGCACTAGTAGGTGCCACTGATGGGCATTGACAGGCATCACTGATGGGCACAGAAAGGCAGCACTCATATATGGCACTGATAGGTAGCACTGATAGGTGGTACTAATAGGCGGCACTGACTGACACTGATAGGCGGCACTGACTGGCAATGTTAGGTGGCACTGAATGGCACTGTTAGGCGGCACTGGGCATTGATAGGTTGCACTGATGTGCACTGATATGTGGCACTGATTGGCACTGATAGACGGCACTGACTGACAGTGATAGGTGGCACTGATTGGCAGCACTGATAGGTGGCACTGACTGGCATTGATAGGTGGCACTGACTGGCACTGATAGGTGACACTGAAAGGCAGATCAGATGGGCACTGATATGTGGCATTGATGTGCACTGGTAGGCACTGATATGTGGCATTGATGTGGCACTGATGGGCACTGGCAGGTGGCACTGATGGGCACTGGCAGGTGGCATTGAGGGGCACTGACAGGTGGCACTGCTGGGGCTACACTGATCATCAGGGCACACTGATCATCAGTACCCTGATGATCAGTGTACATGTCCCCTCCGAGGAATGCGGATTACTGTCTCTCCTCTCCTCTCAAGCTGTCAGCATGACAGCTCATGAGAGAGAAATGCTGATAACCGGCATTTCCCTATTTACATGTGATCAGCTGTGATTAGACACAGCTGATCACACAACCGAGCCGACATCTTCGGCTCTTTCCGTTGATCGGTGATCGCTGTGTCCGAGGGACACAGTGCACCACCGATCACCGCACTGCGCGCTCCTGGAGCCGCGTATGCGCGGTTAGAGTGGGAGGACATCATATGACGTCCTCCCAGAATGAGAGAACCGCCTTGTGCCCGTCATTACCTGATATGGCAGGCTGGAGGCAGTTAAAGCAGAGTTGCCCCTCATATAGGCCCTGTCCTACACTGGATGGGGGCATGGTCATCAGCATTTACATTGCTAATTTACAAGCCTGTAGATTGTCAGTAAGAACCTAACCACACTTAGTCCTGTCCACTGCTGTCTGGAAAGACATCACTAGCTCTGTTGCTTAATGTGAGTAGCAGTATCTGGGAGGGGGAGCTTGTGGGATACATGTGAAGGAGGGTTTGGCTCACTATGAATAAGTAAAGAATGTTTATTGTTTACTTTTTGAGACTTTCCATAGCAGCTGGATTAGTGACTTGTTTAGACTGTCACAATTGAGTTTTACCTTTTTCACTTTGTTTCCTATTCCAGAGAGACAGTAGGAATTAACGGGACATCTTTTTATCCACCTGCCCTCCAGAGGATTTACATCCCTTCCCAACCAGGCCATTTTTTGTGATACAGGGCTACGTTAAATAACTGATAATTGCGCGGTCGTGCAACGCTGTACATTAATTACATTTGTGTCCTTTTTTCCCACAAATAGAGCTTTCTTTCAGTAGTAGTTGATCACCTCTGCAGTTTTTATTTTTAGCTTTAAACAAAAAATGCAGACAGTTTTGAATAAAAAACAATATTTTTTGACTTTTTGCTATAAAACATATCCACTAAAAAAAATAAACAAAAATCTAATTTTGTCATAAATTTAGGCCAAAATGTATTCTACTACATGTCTTTGCTAAAACAATCCCATTACGTGTAAATTAATTGGTTTGCGTGAAAGGTATAGCTTCTACAATTGGCAGTGTATATATACTGGAATTTTTATTTACATTCTTTTTATACTAGTAATGGCAGCGATAAGCAACTTCAGCGGGCATTCTGACACTGGGTAGGAACTGACTAACTGTAATTGACGTCCCCAGAGACACTAATACAATGATCAATGCTAATAAAAAGCACTGACACTGTGCTAATGACACTGGGCAGGAAGGGGTTAACTTTTGGGCGATCAAAGGGTTAACTGTATGCTGTGTGTGTTTTACTAGGGAGACATGATGTTTTGTATCTCTCTGCTGTGCAGAGAGATACAAAACAGCATGTCCATGCTGACAGGGGAGAAAACTGTGTTGTTTACACACAGGTCTCTCCCCTGTCAGCTTTACACGGTGATCGCTGAGTGCTGGCCGGGAATCACTGTCCGGGACCTGATGACTGACATCCCTAGCCACCAATAGCGGCATGTGTAGGGCGGCCCATGCACGCCCCCTACTTGGAAATGCAAATCAAGTATATATACGTGATTTCACGCAGCCCTGCTGCCCTGTAGCAGTACTTCTACTGTAGGGCAGCGGACAAGCAGTTAAACTGAGAGATTTTTACATTGCCAGAGCATACAGGGTTTATTTACTAAAGCTGGTTCACTCAGAATCTTGTGCAGCTGTGCATGGTAGCCAATCTGCTTCTAACCTCAGCTTGTTCAATTAAGCTTTAGCAATAAAACCTGGAAGCTGATTGGCTTCCATGCACGGGATTCTGAGTAAACCAGCTTTAGTAAATAAACCCTACAGATTGGAGGAATCACCCTAACAGAACACACTACTGGCATCTTCCCCAACTCTCTAAAACATGCGCTAGTCACCCCCATACTTGAAAATGCCTCACTTGACCCCACCAAGCTTAGCAACCTAAGACCCATCTCCTTACTCCCTTTTTGCCTCCAAACTCCTTCAACATCTAGTCTACAACTGGCTGAGCTGTCACCTTATTGAGAATAACCTTCTTGATCCCCTTCAGTCTGGATTTCGCCCACAACACTCCACAGAAACTGCTCTCCTAAAACTCACAAACGACTTACTAACCACTAAAACTAATGGTCACTATTCTGTATTCTTACTCTTGAACCTCTCTGCTGCCTTTGACACAGTTGACCATCCCCTCCTCCTCAAAAAACTATATTTACTTGGTCTCCATGACTGTACTCTCCGTTAGTTCAAATCTTACCTATCTCACCTTCAGTGTCACAACTCTACTTCCTCCTATCCAACTCCTCTTACGCTCGTGGTTCCCCAAGTTTCTGTTGGACCTCTCCTATTCTCGATCTACACTTCTTCCTTGAGTCAGCTGATAACTTCCCATGGTTCCAATACCATTTCTGTGCTGATGACAAACAAATCTATCTCTCTACTCCTCAGCTCACCCTCAGCTCACCCTATCAGTTTCTTCACGTATCACTGATGGCCATAGAGGGATTACTTTGATGCAGTTGGCCAGTTTAAGCATGTATTGCAATATGTATGAACTAAATATCCCTATTTATTGCATAGTCTGCTTGAAAAGGTATATACCAGTGTGCAGAGGGTCCTTCAGTATTAATATGTGGTTACACCGCTTTAGCACCTGATGGATAAATGCATGCACTAGCTGTTGGGATTTGAGCACAGGTATCTCTTGTTTGTTTTTTTATATCAGACTGGATGTTACACCACTTCCTAAAACTCAATCTATCCAAAACTGAGCTCATAATATTTCCTCCCCCATGTGCCTCTTCCCCTGATTTCTTGGTCAGGATCAATAGCACCACTATCAACCCATCCCTGCATCCCAGAGTGCTAGCGGTAATCCTGGATTCTGAACTATCCTTTAAGGCCCACATCCAATCCCTTTCCAAATCATACCCCCTCAACCTCCGCAACATCTCCAGAATACGCCCCTTTTTAACCAATGATACCACAAAGCTCCTAATTTACTCCCTGGTTATCTTTCCCCTCGGCTACTGCAACTCCCTCCTCATTGGCTTAACTTTATATAGGCTATCTCCCCTCCATTCCATCATGAATACTGCTGCCAGGCTCATCCACCTTACCAACCGTTCAGTGTCTGCTGCCCCTCTCTGCCATTCCCTACCCTGGCTTCCACTCACCGAACAAATAAAATTCAAAATATTAACAACAACTTACAAAGCCATCCACAACTCTGCCCCCCAGCTATATCAGCAACCTGGTCTCAAAATATTAACCAAACAGCTCTCTTTGATCCTCCCAAGACCTTCTACTCTCTAGTTCCCATGTCACCTCCTTCCATGCTTGTCTCCAGGACTTCTCCTGAGCTTCTCCCATCCTATGGAACTCCCTACCCCAATCTTTCCAGCTATCTCCTAATCTATCCACCTTTAGATGATCCCTGAAAACCCTTTAAGGAAGCCTGTCCTGCTTCTAACTAATAAACTGCCTTTTATTTCCTCGATAAGCTCATCCCCCACAGCTATTATCTTTTGTATCACTCAATCCTTCTTCCTAGATTATAAGCTCTAATAAGCAGGGCCCTCTGTTTCCTCTTGTACCAAATTGTATTGTAACTGTAATGTCTACCTTAATTTTGTAAAGCGATGCACAAACTGTTGGCGCTATATAAATTCTATATAATAATAATAATACAGAATAAATCACTCTCCACTCTACCCAAAATAAAATTAAAACAGTTTTTAGAAACCCACTCTAATGCATAAATAGATCTTGTAAAATAACGCATTTCTGACAAAAAAAAAGGCCTATACTGTTTGTGTGCACTGCAAATTCACATGTTTACACAAACCTACTTAAAATTGAATTATATGCATACATCTTTTGTTGTAATTATCTATGAAATTGCAAACTTCCTGTTTACAACGAGATATATATTTATTTATTTACAATGTATAATGGAAAATCCAATAGAAGGAGTGAGAACACACAGTTTTGTGTGGGAGGAACAAAGGTTTCGAGAGACACGAAACAACATCCAATACTGCAGTTTTCACCCAGATCAGGTGACAATTTCATGTCTGCAGGTCAGGCATACAACTGTCAACTGGGAATAATTGACCAAAAAGGTTAGGACATCTATTCCAATAACAACTGCCCCTTTTGTTCCATCAACTGCAGTGTTCACCTGCACCTCTCTGCACCATCCCTCCCCTCTTCCCCTTTACAGTGGCAGTAAGACAAATGCTCCATTGAGCTAAGTGTTCATTAATTGGATGTTGCCAAGAAAAAAGGCAGGGGCAATGGCAGGGAGATCACAGTGCTGATGTCACATATAAGTATGAAGAGCCAGCATTTGCTACCAGGAAAATTTATTTCTGACAGATGAAGGAAGCCTTATAAACCAATCTGAAAATGTTATTTAAAAAAAATCTAAATTTGAAGCTACACTTAAAATAAACATTGTATTTATTATTGTTGCAGTGCAGTTTTAAGCAATTTGACTGTAGCTTGTAAATGACAATAAAAAAGAAAGGTTGTAGTGCATAAAAAAAGAAGATTTAACAGCCATTAGCAATATACAAGTGAAAGAGACAGAAAATTAACAAAGGATTAGAAAACACAACAGAAATAGAGTGCAAGCCAGTTATGCAATGACATAAATGAAGAGACAAATGCATGAGATGAAAAGCGTGAAGACAAAGGTAATAAACTGCTGCTGCATGTGTCTTCAGAGCAAGAAGTTTTTACTTTTGCATAGCAACATATGTTATATGCACCAAGCAGATGACCGTAAAATGAGATATGCAGCAAAAACACGGTAGACCTCCAAGCATTGCTGAAACAAAAAGACCCTATGCATTTTACAGTCTCAACATGGTGAATATAAGTTTGAATTAGCATGTATAAGGGGTTTTGGTCTAATACCAATTATACATGAGTGATGGTGGCAAGCAATATGATTTAATGATGACGCTTAGCACTGAGTGGATTGTGAAGCAAGAACAACTGAATTAAAAATGGCTGATAAAATTAACATATATACACCATGGCGTCAGTGTATGACCATAAAATGCAAGAAGGTGATGGAGTGATATGGAACAAACCTTGGAGAAATATCGCATCCTTGCTGCATAAAGGCACCCAGGGAAAACCAAAGGCTGTTAAATATCCCAAATTCATTTGGTGGGTCAGGAGGATTCTGAGGGTCACGAGCTTCATCGGTGTCCTCCAAGTGCCATTCATAAGGGCTGAATCTGCTCACAAGGAAAAGAACTACACTGACTCCAATATATGCAAAAACTATACACATCCATATTTCATAGGCCAAGGGGTCCAGGAAGGAAAACACTCCTGGTTTTGATTTTTGAGGCTTCTTAATCATGATGGAGATGCCAAGGCTCATAAATGGTTTTGAAAAATCAATCACTTCTTCCCGTACCAGAGTAATGGTGAGAGGGGCAACAGCTATGTCTGCTCTCTGAAAACAAAGAAAATAGTTTAATAAGTGCACCTTTGTTTAGTAAAATGAAGCAGCAGTTTCAAACACTGTCTCCAGAGCTCCCTAACAGTTCAGGACTTGTTTTACTGGTGTATTGAATGCAGGAGATAGTTTTGTTATGGCATGTATTAGGCAAAAATGGTATGAAATTATTACAGAGAAAATCCTACTGACTAGCCTGTACAATACTTCTATAAGCAGAGGGGTAGAAGAGAGAGCAGGAGGAAAGGAAATAAAAGTGTAGAGAGGATGAATAAAATATTCCCCTAAATTAGTGCTTACCTAATGTAATATAATGGATAGATTTGCTATGAATAATTATTAAAAGAATTTTAAATATCTTTAAAAACTTTCGTTATCATAATATAAATTGTAATTTGGCCTTCCTATCTTTTTTTTAGTAGTGATCTGATGTGCCTGTTTATTTTTCTGTTACCTGTCAAATAAGACAGCCATTCCCTAAACAGTACAGAGAGGAGAGAAACCAATGTTTATTTAACAAAGGAGCAGAGGAAAGGTGAACTAAGTCACTGCACCCTCACCACACCCCTGGTCCCCACTGTACTTATCTCCTTACTTGATTATCTTCTGCTTCCCATGTAGCCGGTATAGTAGTCTAGGAATCTAAAAAATGCAGTACACAGCCTGAAGATTGTGCAGCATCATGGTGGTGAGCTTGGATTGGTCAGTGCCAGCACATGACTGCACTGACTAATGAGAATCAATCTGAGAAAGAAGGGTGCAGAAGAGCATGACTGTCAAAAGCCCAAAAGCTAAATTAGCTAGCATGGGCAGTGAAAGATAATCATACAAAGAGAGAAGTTCAGCAGAGACCAGGGGTATGGGGAGGGTGTTAGCAGTTAGTTCACCTCTTCATGTTTTGTGAAAAAGTGAACAAACCTTTATTAAATATTTTTTTTTCTAGCACATGATTGCATGATACGAGTTTCATCTTTGTTTGTTTTTTGGTATACAGCTTCAGTCACATACAGTAATTTGCCTCTAATGTACTGTGTCCTACATCCTGCTAGCTACCACTTACTGTAAAAACCCTCCTTGCAGTCATGCCAGGTCCCCCTCACAGCTATAAATTTCTAGTTCTGCATGGGGTAAGAGCAATGATGAACTTCCAACAATTGCCCTCCCCTTTCTTTCCTCCTCCTTCATTACCAAAACTTTTTTCACAGAATGCAACACATTCTGTGAATAGAGGAGAGGTGGATAGAAAACAAGATTCCTTCTACCATTAACAGACAGTGTTGCATTCTGTGAAAGCAATAAAGGGGGTTTTGTTAATGCAGGAGGACAGAAGAGGAGGGCAAGTGTTGGATGCCCTTTACAGTCACAGCCACTGCACTTAATCCATGGAGCACCAGGAGTTCACAGCTGCAAGGGATCGGACATCCCTGAAAGGAAGAATTTTACAGTAAAAAAAAGTGTGGTAATAAGTAATAAGTCATAGTATGGTCAAGGCTCCTTGTCTAAATAAATGTTTCAGGAAAGTGACTTAAATAGTTCTGAATCTACTAGATAAACATAAGAGCCAGGGAAGTAGCATTTTAAGAAGGTAGGTCAGCAAAGGCAGCCTAATACTGCGTTTGCATCAGATGTTATCAAATTATGGTTAAGATTGTTTTCAATGTAGTTGTACAACAGCAAATGCATCACAAATACAACATTTAAAAGAAAATTTGTAAAGCCAATTTTTATTCCCACCCTTATATTTTCTAACAAAAGTTATATTCTTGGTCATAATGCATTTCTTTTCCTCTTTGTATACACACAGATTACTTTTAAAAGCACAAACCATTGCTGTAAAAAATATGATAAATGCAAATCATTTATCAAACCATAGATGCATTTAGTATTTGCTTGCGTATCTGATGTAATAGTAAAAGGTTCTCTGCACTGGGTGGATCTGCTTGTCTTTTGTATTAAGATCATAAATCAAGAATGAAGCCATTTAAAATTGCACATGTAGCAAGTGTTTTCAGAAAAGCACCGGTTTTGTTTCTTTAAAGTGCAGAATTCATTATTATTTCATGACGTTCACACCAGCTAACAATCCATAACTCAGGAAACATCAAGCATTAAGCTTTTAAGGTAAATCGGTTTGGATGATGTACGATGTTAAAAAAAAAGAATGTAAGCAATTCTTAAACAAGACTCAGGGTCATTATTTTTAAAATGTTTCTTGCTGAGGCTAGTGCTGGGACAAAATCAGCTATACACTTTAGGGTATTTTAGAAAATGACAGATTGCTCTAAATTAGATTTCAGGCAGACTGGTTGAGATCTTAAAATTGACTTGGCCAAAGTTTGGTCCAATTTTACCCTTGATAAAAGCAAGTGATGCCTTGCCAGTGACAAGTGTCCCAGGTGTAACATGTGATGTGACCCTTCTTTCCTTCTAATAATTTCCAGATATAAATATGTTCATCTGTTCACAGTGTATAGTTCAGACAATGCAACAGTGGGAGTAAGTGACTGCTGCTATAAGTACTGGTGCACAGTACTGTTATGAAAAAAGTCAGACTGTGCATTTATGTAAAACAAAACCCTATGGCCAACTAAAGGACATACCTTTATAAAAAAAAAAAAGGTAAAAATATAATCACTTTGCAGCCACTTCTCTTACGCCACTGATTCTTAATATTAACCTGTGTGTAAAATACAGCCTTCCCTGAGGCCTGCCATAAACAGCAGAAGGCAGTCAAAAATATAAGCTGCAAATATTCTTTCTTGCAAGACTATTTCTATTAAAATACATAATTGCTTCTACCAAACATGCGTGGTTATTCACCACGCAGGCACTCCAGTGTCAGCCTTATAATTAGGTTGAAAAAATACACAAGTCCTCTGACTTCAAGCCTTTTCTTGGGCTAACAATGGCGAACTCCTGTGAACATCCAATTAATTCATTTTCCACTTGAGATTGGTTGGCCAGATGGAATCTGCAGTGATCACAACATGTCCAAAGATATGTCCAAAGATACTGTATGGATTTGAATGTTAATAGTTTCTTTGATATCATATAAAAACACCAATGTCATAGGGATAAAGATTGATCAGGCCTGATAACAGTGCACATTTTGTGGGACTGGGGCCACTTTGTCAGGCTTGTTAGAATTTACAATTATGTTTTTATATCTACATTAAACAAGCAATCTGTTTAGCAGTGAAATGGTCTGCATACTCACAGCTGACAATGCATGGGCAAGCCAAATAAATGCAAATAGAGCTTGAAGGCTGTTAAAGCATAGAGCTCAAGTCATTGTAATTTGTCTTTAATATTGGCCTTTCCTCTTCTAGGTTATGTAAAATGATTGAGAATGGGGAACTACTTTTTTTTAAATGAGTCCTTTGGGGAATAATAGGACAGCAGGACCATTCAAATAAATAAAAAAAAGAAAAATAAGAAATGAGGTAGCACTACACTCATCCACATTAGGAAGCAGATTTTACTTGAGAAAAATAAATCAATGCTTTTCTTTTGATAACACTGAATATGATGCCAGCTCTTTAAACACGCAAGCACAGTCAATATTTATTGACTTTAGAATAGATCAATCAAGTCCCATGATAATACATGACCTCTGAAGGACTGAAAAGTAATTTCGAGCAAAAATTAATTTACTGTTTAACTAAAAGGTTGTATTCTCTGAGAGTCAATTTTAGGTCAAGCTGTGATAATACTACAGATCATGCAATTTAAGGGAAGAAAGCAAATGAAAAAATGAGTAAAATTGTACAGCTTTTAACAATGGTCTGCATTTAAGTGAGTTGGTGTGATGAGCGCAAATTACATTCTGATCTCTAAAAAAATCAAATACCTTTTTTGAATTGGAAAGCTGATTTTTCAATATGAATTTGAATATTATGTAATAAGAATCAAATTGCTTGTGATAAGATTACATATTTCTTGCATAAAATATACATGGATAGTCCCATGTTATGAGGAAAAAGTTATTCTTTAGTGATAAAATGCTTTACGTTTTCAAGTTCTTTTCTGACTGCTTCTGAATACAGTTTACATTTGTAGCCACAAATTAAAATGGTGTTTGCACCAGTTGGCCATCATTTAGCACCTGTGCAATTGAACACCCCCTAAACCGAAACATTTGAAATGGTCCTTTCTATATCAGTGGAGATGCAGATGGAGGTACAGTGCTATAAGCAAATGGTGCATTAGGACATTGGTACATATATTCAAAATATGTACATTCGCTACCTACCCTGACAGTGGCTGGCCAGAGGGCCCCTATCTTCCCAAGTAGACAAAGATGGCCTCTTTGGGTAATTGTCACCTCATGTGTCTGGAGCTTAAAAATTTACTTAAATGAACCACTTCACAAAAAAAATCTATAAATTAATATTTAATTATACCATTGAAGACATACTGTTATAAGTGCAAAAAATACGCGTTAATCCTGCCTGAATTTTAGTGAACTAATAATTTCCTGTGGCCCCTGCCTTTCCTGCACTGCTATCAGTTAGCATTAATTCCAGTTCTCTCACAGAGAGAACTATACAGTGGAGAGAACATGGAGATTATGAAAGGGGAGGTGTTATGTAGTCCTGAACTACTTTCTGTCCTAAGGCTACAAAATTGCTCCATAGATACTGTATAATGAGTGATGTTACCCAAGGGCAGAAAGCCTCTTAATGTCAGGATCATGAAAATGTAGGGGAAAAAGGGCAGAAGATGAAAAAAAACGCACCACATCTAGGGAACAGCGATCTGAAATATTTTACATTTTTGTTCCTAGAAATGCTTGTATGTACATAATTTTATCAATGGGTGCAAACAAAATAAATTGCATTGTTTCTACATATATACTGTATGTGTGTGACAGCAACCGTATTTCCTCATTACATAAGCAGACTTTGCTTTGTAGTGCTGCCCAGTAGCTGTGCTTTACTGTTCTCCTTTCTCTCAGTGCTAGCCTGTGGGTAAGGTCTGAGAAACTGAAAGCAGTTGATTTACATCACTGGCAGCTCCTTATTATCACCACTAAGGGAGGTTAAATAAGTATGACCATCAAAAGCAATGTTTGAATCGGTAGCACTGTTATAGCCTGTCTATGGCATACTTCATGCTGACTTTATTTCAGTTTCCATAAAGCTGCTATGCTTTAACTATTCTGGATACATAGGTGACTAAAAGACGGAGCATTATCAAATCTGGATATGGAAATTAATAATAAAAAAATGAAACCGTAAGAAAGAAGACAAGCAAATGACTTGCTGCCAAGCTAGTACTCTATTAAGTCGTGTTTACCTATTGAAAATACTCATGAGTTTCACTTTAAATAGGAGAGACACTTGAAAATTGGGTTTGTGACAGCCTTCTCTCCCTCCACTCTCCTTCAGGCTTTGCACAGAATATTGCTGCTATGCCTCGATAGAGTTGCAATCATACTCTACAAATAAGGTATGCTTCAAGGTAATGCACCAAGAAGATCCTCACAAGAAGATCATTTCCTCTGGAAACCAGCTACACATAAAGGGATTCTGGATATAAGACCAATTGAGCAACTATGAAAAATCATGGACTACAAAATTAAACTCATTAAGAAATTAAAGTGTATGTGTAGCCAATTTTTTCAGTCTTGGATAGGAGGTGATTCCCGTCACTTCCTGTCCTACAGAAACAGCAGGAAGTGAGAGGAAATCTCTACAAACTTCTTGCTCGCCTAACAACTCTATACAGTTAGGTCCATATATATTTGGACACAGGCACAATTTTCATACTTTTGGCTCTGTATGCCTCCAGAATAAATTAAAATGAAAAAATCCAAATGGATTTGAAGTGCAGGCTTTCAGCTTTAATTCAAGGGGTTCAACATAAATATCAAATACATATTTTAGGAACTGCAACCATTTTTATACACAGTCCCTCCATTTTCAGGGACTGAAATGTAATTGGACAAATTATTACTTATTTATTACAGATACTTACCGTATTTTTCGCTCCATAAGACGCACTTTTTTCCCCCCAAAAAAGGGGGGAAAATGTCAGTGCGTCTTATGGAGCGAATATGGAGCGGCCAGTCCGGTATTTCCACCGCCGCCGTGGCAGAATACCGGGCCGGCCGCTCAGCTCTGCAGCGGGACCTTATAGAGATGACTGCTGACCTTTGGGGAGGGAGGGGGAGCGGGTGCCTGAATTTGACAGGTACCCGCTCCCACTTCCGTGGAGTTGTTCTTTCATCTTACCTGTTCCTCTATCCAGCGGCGCGCTTTCTTCCCGGCTTCTGTAGTGTGGGCATGACAGCGGGGTGCCAAGTGCGCATGCGCAAGAAGCGGTGCTTTTTGTGAATGGTAAGGCGGCACCTGGGACACATGACAGATCCCAGAAGCCGCCGGACCAATCACAAAGCGCAAGTGCTTCTCGCTCATGCGCACTGGGCACCCGGCTGTCATGCCGAGCGCCATTACAGAAGCCGGGAAGACAGCGCGCGGCTGGATAGAGGAACAGGTAAGATGAAAGAACAACTCCGCGGAAGTGGGAGCGGGTACCTGTCAAATTCAGGTACCCGCTCCCCCCCCTCCCCAAACGTCAGCAGTCATCTCCTGTACTGTCCGCAGTCTCTGGTCATCCCTGTGCTGTCCGCAGTCTCTGGTCATCTCCTGTACTATGTCCGCAGTCTCTGGTCATCCCCTGTACTGTCCACAGTCTCTGGTCATCTCCTGTACTATGTCCGCAGTCTCTGGTCATCTCCTGTACTATGTCCGCAGTCTCTGGTCATCTCCTGTACTATGTCCGCAGTCTCTGGTCATCTCCTGTACTATGTCCGCAGTCTCTGGTCATCTCCTTTTCTGCCTCTAAAACCTAGGTGCGTCTTATGGTCAGGTGCGTCTTATGGAGCGAAAAATACGGTATATAGCTCTATCAATTTACGCAGAGCTTTACATATATATTATACATTCACATCACAAATTAATATAATCATACATAAAATATTCATTTTTAATATTTTGTTGAGAATCCTTTACTGGCAAAAGACTGCCTGAAGTCTGGAACCCATGGACATTACCAAAGACTGGATTTCCTCCTCTGATGCTTTGCCAGGCTCTAACTGCAGCTATCTTCAGTTGTTCTTTGTTTGTGGGTCTTTCTGCCTTTAGTTTTGCCTTCAGCAAGTGAAATGCATGCTTAAGTGAGTTGAGATCAGGTGATTAACTCAGCCATTGCAGAATATTCCACTTCTTCCTCCCAAAGCTCCTGGGTTGCTTTTGAAGTGTGTTTTGGATCATTGACCATCTGTACTGTGAAGCGCCGTCCAATCAACTTTGCTGCATTTGGCTGAATCTGGGCTGACGGTATATCTCTAAACACTGCAGAATTCATCCAGCTGCTTATGACTTCTGTCACATCATCAATAAACACCAATGACCCGGTGCCACTAGAAGCCATGCATGCCTATGCCATCACACTGCCTCCACCATGTTTTACAGATAATGTTGTGTGCTTTGGATCATGAGCTGTTCCAAGCCTTCTCTACACTTTTTTCTTACCATCATTCTGGTACAGATAAATCTTAGTTTCATCCATCCAAAGAATGCTTTTCAGAACTGGTCTGACTTTTTAAGATGTTTTTTGGCAAAGTCTAATCTGGCTTTTCTATTCTTCAGGTTGATGAATGGTTTGCACCTTGTGGTGAACCCTCTGTATTTGCTCTTGTGAAGTCTTCTCTTGATTGTACTCTTTGACAATGATACACCCACCTTCTGGAGAGTGTCCTTCACTTGTCTTGATGTTGTGAATGGGTATTTCTTTACCATAGAGAGGATCCTGCGTTCATCCACCACTGTTGTCTTCCGTGGATGTCCATGCCTTTTTATGTTACTGAGCTCACCAGTGCATTCAAACTGTTGGTTTGGCCACTCCTAATGTTACTGCTATCTCTCTGATGGATTTGTTTTGTTTTTGAAGCCTTACAATGGCCTGTTTCACTTGCATGGACAGCTCCTTTGAACGCATGATGTAGGTTGTCATGACGCATGACAAACTCATGTAGACTTCACCTCCGCAACATCTCCAACATCTCCAAGTTACGACCGTTCCTAACCTCGGAAACCACTAAGCAACTCATTCACTCCCTTATTATATCTCGCCTCGACTACTGTAACTCCCTCCTCACTGGCCTACCTCACCACAGGCTATCCCAACTTCAGTCTATCATGAACGCTGCTGCCAGACTCATCCACCTCACTAACCGCTCTGTATCTGCCACCCCTCTCTGCCAATCCCTCCACTGGCTTCCAATTGCCCAACGGATAAAATTCAAAACACTAACACTGACGTATAAAGCTGTTCATAACACTGCTTCTAATTACATCACCGATCTTGTCTCTAAATACCACCCAAACCGTACTCTCCACTCCTCGCAAGACATCCTACTCTCTAGCTAACTTGTCTCCTCCTCCCATGCTCGTCTCCAGGATTTCTCAAGGGCTTAACCCATCCTCTGGAACTCCCCACCCCAATCTATCAGGCTATCGCCTACTCTGCTCACTTTTAGGCGCACTCTGAAAACCCATCTCTTCAGGGAAGCCTACCCCGACCCCAGCTAATACTGGAATCCTCTACTCTTCCTACCACTCCATCCTCCACAGCTAATTACCTTTTGTACCACTATCCCTTACCTCCTAGATTGTAAGCTCCAAGGAGCAGGGCCCTCTAATCCCTCGTGTATTGAACTGTATTGTTACTGTACTGTCTCCCTCCATAATGTAAAGCACTGAGCAAACTGTCGGCGCTATATAAATCCTGTATAATAATAATAATACTAATAATAGGTTCCCAGGAATAGATTCCAAATGCAAATACCACACTTAGAATCAAATCCAGACATTTTTATCTGCTTAATTGATGAAGAAATAATGAAGGAATAGCCCACACCTGGCCATGAAACAGCTTTTGATTCAACTGTCCAATTACTTTTGGTCCTTTGAAAAAGGGGGGATGGCTACTCTTAAGAGCTGTAATTCCTAAACCCTTCCTCCAATTTGGATGTACATATCCTCAAATGAAACCTGAAAGTGTGCATTGCAGCTCATATCCATTATATAACTATAGCTTGAATATGTTTTGGTAAATACCTGAAAAAAAATAAAATTGTGCCTGTGTCCAAATATATATATGGACCTAACTGTAGTTTTGTATTTCCCTTTATTTGCTCTCTAAATGACAATGGCTACCAGGATAAATAAAGGGATGAATCTCACCAGTGGGGACACAAACAGGAACAGAAAGAAAGGATCCAATTCACTCCAAAAAAAAAAAACATACATACACTAACAGACACTAGGCAAAGGCCGAAAAGATTACAATATTCAACACCTTAATAGTATTAATAATAAATATTGTGGGAACATCACGTCTGTTGGGTTATATTACCTTTAAAGTGTCATGGTATTAATTACTTAGAGAAGAACACGTCTCAATTTCATTCTTGTAAATGTTCATCTTACATTGTCATTATTATAATTGTTGTAAACTTTGAGTTCAGCAAACCTTTTATACCCTTTTTATAGCAAACCTTGGGTATTTTAAATATTATGTTACTGATGCTGAGAAAGTATTTAGAAAATAGAGAATCACTTACCCCATACACAAGTTCACCCACCATTCCATTCCAAATTTTAGTTTCAGGGTCACGGGCACCATACTTGCCATCCTCAACAATGGATAGTTTGTATTTTATCCCAACATGCTTTGCAATTTCACTAGCTAAGTCCACACAGTACCCTTCATACTTGTCATTGCCATCCAGCTGCTCATAGTTTTTCTTTTTCATTACATATGGATTTTCCTATATTTAAACAAAAAAAAAACAGATCAAACATATTAAAAAGCACATTACTAAAAGAAGCTCTATTACACCCTTGTTAATGCTCAGTAGATGAAAGGACTGGGCTCAGTACTAGGCACCATCAGATAAATCTATGTCTAAGTGGATGGAATGAATGCTGTAATTTTGCAGATGCAAACCACAGAAAATAAATACAGACTTTTATAACTAGCTTCATTTTTATGATATCAAAGGCACAATTAAAAACACAGACATTGGGAAGGAAACAGAAAAACAGAAAAATTATATAATGTGGGAACACAACTCTAGTAACATTAATATGAATGGCTCAAAAAGTTAGACATTAGCTTTAATTTTAAAGATGTGCACGGTAGTTTTGTAGCATATGATATACTGCAAAGGAAAAGCTTCTTAAAGGGTAATTTTTAGTAAAACGATGAAGCACTGGTATATTTTGGAAGGTGTCAACACCCATGTACTAATATAAATAATGCACAACTTTTGTACTTGGCTAATAAGTTATGCTGTAAGAAAGTAAATGTAATTTAAAGCAAAATTTAAAGAAATCTGAAAGAAAGAAATCTGACTGAAAAATAGGATTTTCAGTTTCCTTACAGCTTTACCTCTTCAGCAGTATCTATCTTGCCAATATAGTAGCTGTGCAAATTGATTCCAATGCCTCTGACAAAATAACTTACTGGTGAGGCCATGGTAACACCCATACAGTATAGCAAGTAGTAGTTAGCTACATTCAACTGGACATGTACTATAATGTTAAAGACATTTTGTAGCTTATCCAAGCCACGCCTTTAGTTCTGAGTGGCAGGAACATACCCCAGCATTTAAACCCACACAGATAGCACAAACACCTCATTAACATGGAATGTGTCAAGGTAGATGTTAATTGTTCATGAACAGCATGGGACATGGGAAAGTTGTGGAACCATCCTGTTCTACTTAATTAATCCCATCCTTGGTGTTGTGAGGTCTGCATATATGTTAATACTTCAATTGACATGGCTAAAGGTGTGAATTGTTGTCAAATCTCAGGGGTAGAGATGTAAAAATGGAATTAGAGATGGAAGACAGATCATCGAAGGTCCTCACCCCTGTTCAGGGATGGTTGTTCCAGTTTAATGTAGATGGCGTCTCATACTTCTTGCAAAACAGTTGTCTCACTGTCCACCACGGAATGTTCCTTGTTCCTAAGGAGTAGGAAAACTGCTGAGTCTTGACTATTGGAATTTGCCATCCAATGCTGGGCCTTTCCTTTTTTAGGGGGAAACTGTAACAGATTCCCCCCCTCCCAACTCTTAGGAGTGAGGGTGCCCCTTTATTCTGAAGAGGGTTTTGGGGAAGGCTTGGTGACCTTCTTGGGCAGGTTGGGATTTTCTGCTGTAAAAGGGAAACCTTCCCACCTCTGACCTCTCTGATGAATTGGTCAAGTGCCACACCATACAGGGCTCTTCCCTGAAAATGCATATGCATGAGGCAGGCAGCTTCAAATGTTCAAACATTTAGCTATAAGACCAGAGATTAGAATAAAGGTACAATTTTATATTTTTATCTTAAATAAACATTCTAAATAGAGAGCACTATTAGTTTTCATTTTATCTTTGAAGAATATATGTGTGCCCATCTGCAGAGTGGAGAAGACAGAGTGGTGCATACTTTTGGGTCAACTTTTAAAAAGGGACAGTATCATATAACTCTAAAGAGTAGGACTTTTGTGATTTTCATTTATTATTGTGGTGTGATGACAGTGATGTATGTTTTTCGCTAAAGTGATTATTTGTTTAGTGGTTTATTAAGTATATATTACATTTTCAACACTGTTGAGTGCTGCTCATAATTTTTGTTTGTTTTGTTGATTTATTTGTATTAGAGTAGCACATAAAGTGCTGGCATAGCTCACACCTATTGGGTTCATATATTTTGGTATTTTAACACAGGAGGATATTTCATATAATCATATGGCTGTATGAAGGCAATATTCTGTCTGAGAAAATGTTACATAGATTAGGAGAATTCTATGGCAAATAGGCCACTTGTTATGTGACTAGAATAGAGCTAGAATTGTATGCCAATGTTAGATTCAGCTATTACTTCAGTGGAAAGGATGCATCATCACTCTAACATTGAGTATTGTGCAGGTCTTCAGCAGAGCGAAAGTTTGCCTGTGATTTTGCATTCATTCCCTTTAATCTGGCCTCTGTTATAGCTACAAGTCAGGTTATTCCTCAGTGGGGTACTCACAGAATAGGGTGCAAAGTATTGGGTAAGCATGTCCATAAGGAGTGCTCGGTAATTAAGGCATAGATACAGGGTGACCCTGTCTTTCCTGTTTTCTTTAATGGAGTCCTGGATAGCAGCAAAACTTTCCCCTCTCTATCCAAACTAATAAAATAGTAAAAATGGGATTAATTAAAGTAGTTAAAGTGCTAAATGTACAAAACAAGCAGAACACACTGTAGTACATTGAGCGCTGTGTTCTCCAGCTCTGTGTGAGCAGATCGTAGGCACTCATTTGTTACAATGTAAAAACTTTCTATGATTTGTTTAGATTCAAGTTACCATTCAATGACATTCCTGTACCTTCTGTTTCTTTGAAGAACATGCCACATTAACAAACCTTAAAAACAAGTCTCCTCGCCTCCCCCAACCATCCACCCCCCCCACCACAACCGGGGAAGGGGGGGTGAGGAGACTTGTTAAAAAGTTACTTGAAAAGGCAGTGACTGCGGAAAGGAATTCTGCTGGCTGCTACGTGTGTGGAGCAGGCGGCTGTGTCAGCCTGCCTGCTCTTGCGTGCTGTGGGCAGCCAGTGAGAGGATGTACCTGAGCGCGTTCTTGTGGAACACTTTCAGCCACCTGTGTCAGGTTTCAGAAGGAGGGCTGAAGGTAGTAACATGCTGACGTCATCTCATTTGTAGTCCAGCTGTCCTTCCTGAACTATTATAACTGAAAGTCCATACTTTAGATAAGGACCTCAGCTTAAAAGTAAAGTCTGCAGAAGCTTCAGCATTGCACCCAGGGTGCACTAACCCCGATTGCAGTGCTTTCCAGGCTTAAATGATTTTTTTTTAAATCAGTGCATATTTTTTTTTTATATTTTTAGTGCATTTATGACATTTAATAAAAAGGTGAACTTATCCTTTAAGAAGAAATATGGGAAATAAAATTTCTTAATGCTGTTTAGTTGTAAATTGCAATGATCATTTGGGGGCATTTTAGATAATTCATGTCATTTATCAACATAAAACACTTGATTCTCTAATCTCTAAGTGATCTTTCCATACATTTCCTGACACTCTGTTGAACTTTGCTTCTATATTTGCCTCACTTGATAGTTCCTGCTCTTTCTCCCCTGTCAGCTTTATAATCATTTATATGACTTACAACAGCAAATCACATAGGCATCCTTTTCACTTTTCGTTTATGTTCTATTTTTCTAATCACATTGCTTTTATTGTCCTACCATGAAACACATACCATGGCTGTTTAACCACTTATCCCTTAAGCCTTAGTTCTCTATAACACCCTTAAATTGATTGTAAACCCTTACATATAACCAGTGAAATACTAGTGTCAGATGATACACAGAGATGAAGCAAATCTTTCTACATAATCTGTACCTGTTTATCTGCAACCCTCTCTTCTCTACAATCACTCAAAGTGCAGAATTTATACAGCGTGTCTGAGCTTTCAGAAAGCAGAGGGAGGGGAGCTGAAATTACACTCTGCAAATCTTAGTGAGGAGAGCTCTGAGTGCTGACTAGAGGGAAGATACACCCCCCATCACACAGCACAAAGGAACAGAGTGGAGACTATCAATCACAAGCTGTGTGCTGGAGCTCCCTCTCCTGTCACCTTTTTATCTCTTGGTATCAAGAAAACCTGTCAGAAGCGACTCATGCAGATAGCAGAAGAACAAGGCAGCAGAGAGAAATTACATGTAATGCTCTTGATATAGACAAGCACACAATATAGAGGCATAAGCTTTATTCATATTTAATGTCAGAGGTTTACAACTACTTCAAGTCCTAGAGTGTTTTTGCTGTGTATTGATTTTGTTTTGTTCTGCACCTTTCTTTGTAGTCTTCCCTAACATATAAGATATACAGTAATTTATTTAATTTAATTAGTTTTATTTATTAGTTTTATGTCTAAGTTTTAATTAGGAGGAAATTGTGAAAACTTAAAAAAATGTTTCTGTAATTCTTCCCAGCATAGCTTTTATGTAATTAATGCAGCCCCAGATATGTACCCCAAAATACTGGAAAAGCTTTCAGGGTCTGCTAATGAAAAAAATATCATGTGTGATTTTTTTTATAACCTAATAAAATGGTAAAACCTAAAGTGAGGGTTTGTGTTTTACTTTAGGAGGACTTTATTCTCCTTTCGATGCTACATTGTAATGCATGCAAGAAAAAAATTGTTAGTATAACATTCACTTAAGATAAAGTTGGTTGGTGAGAGGACAAAAATGAGCACAACAGTAACTTTTTGTAGTATTGCGGAAGCATAGTGTTTATAGTGACCTTCTACAAGAGCTTATATTAGGCACTGTGTAGCAAGAGCAGAAGCTAAGGAGCTGATCTTTTTAGCTCACTGGTTTAATGATGCCTGTCACTGAGAGCTGGCAGTCCCAACCTATATGCTTGCCGAGACCCAACAGAACCAATGCTGTTTTAAAACAAATAGCTACTATTCCTGTGCTTATTTAGAACTGTGCTTGGGACTCAAGTGATTAATGCACACCTGAGCCAAAGCAAAAGTAAGTTGTTTCTTGCTATGTAATGTAATGTGCTCTTTCTCTCTTGCTGTAGTTTTCATAAATCAATTCAACAACATTTAAAGAGGGACTCCATTTTTCTTTTTTTCATTCTTAAATATTTTATAATTTGTACTGTCCCAGTTGTGCCCCTTTCAAGGTGGGTGCCTCTTTTGCCTAGTCCCAGCCCTGCATGTCACATGAGGGGGAGGAGTGACATCATCCACCTGCAATGACGTCATCCAAAATTGGTGCTTACTTAGGTTGGATTCCTGCAGTGGTGAGGCAGCCAGGAAGCTTGTGTGGGTGAGTATAACTTCTTCAGGGGTAGGAAGGTGACAATGTATCTTTAAATTTCTATATGAACTTAAGCAAATGTAACTTACCAAAATTGTTGTAACTACAATAGTCTTGTTTTCCACAGAAGAAGAGTCATTTGTGGGCTGCTGGTCAGGAGCAGGAACAAAACGTTCATATTCATTCCAATGTCCAACCTGCAAAAAATGTCATTAACATAATCTGAATGTGATATGTTAGCATTCTGGGATATATTGACCAAGTGTAAATAAACATAAAATAAATGCTCTGTAAATAAAAAGTTCAATACATCGTCATTCTAATATTATTATAGAAGCATGATTACTGGGAGGATTTACTAAAACTAGAGCACACAGAATCTGGTGCAGCTCTGCATAGTAACCAATCAGCTTCTAACTTCACACTAAAAACATTAGTTAAGATGTATCTCTAGCCAAAACGTTTTTTAGGGAGTAGGGAATGTTTAAAACCCATGTCAGATTATTTTTATATAGTCTTTAGGGTATAGTTACCCTAAACATATTTTCTGCATTTAAAACCATTAAAAAGAACAAAGAAGAACAGTTTAAAATAGTGACCAAAAGAAAATCTTTTTCAGCGGGGTCCAGGCTCTGAAAAGATTCCAACCATATGGTCGGGATCCACCCAGAAGCCTGGACTGGTATCTGGCTCAGCCTCTCAGCAAGCCACTAGGAGTTTGAGCCAAGCCACCCCAACCCCCTCCAAAGCCCAGCACTCCAGTGAGCACTGGAAGGGCAGAGCAGAGAGCTGGTGACTGACAGTCATGGCACTATGCTCAGAGTGGAGGGGGAGAACTGAGCGATCAGTGGTGTTTAATCACTCAGTTCTCAGTGCAGAGCTGGCAGGGGACAGATGCAGAATAGGATTGATGCTGAATCCACCTAGATGAAGATAAAGTATTTGTTTTTTGTTTAAATAAGCCCATACTTCTAAGCCCATACTGAGCTTGAGATTCAGTAACGAAAGTCATTACTGCTTCCAAGGAATTGAAGCTCTCCTTTCATAACATGTTACATGTTACACCCATATTCAGGGTGTACATGTAACATGTTATGAAAGCACTGTCTCCCGCTCCTCACTGATCCCTTGCTTTGACAGCTAGCCCTAGCAGCTGTTAGTTTGTAGTTCTCAATGAACAACCACAGCACTGTGGAGCACCGTGGTAGTTAATAGAATCTTCTTGTCAGTATATCTGCTTGCCCATACATCCCGTAGCAGATATACTGATAGATCTTCAGGAGACCTGCATGGCACCAGCAATCTGCTGATCACTGGTGCAATGCTTTACAGGCTCCTGCAGCAAAAAAATAATAAATGCACATTTTTTTTTACCTGCAAAAAAAATGTGCATTTATTATTTTTATCAAAAGGTGAATTTATCCATTGATTTAGGTGACAGTGACATAGAAAACCCATTTCTTTTATAGAAAGCTTACTTCAGCCATCCTGAGTTTCAGAACAGCACATTATTGTAGATTTAGAAGAAATAAAACATATGGGGCTATTTATTAGGCAATAACTGTCCTTACATTTAATATCAATGCTATACTTATATAATTATTCATTTGGCAGGGTGCGAGGAAGGCTTTTCTTTGGTACTGCCTTCTAGGAATTTTCTATTTGTATATTTTAAAGGAAAAAAAACAATTAGAAAAAAAATCACTTTGATACAAGATATCTAGCTTTATGGTAGGGTACAACATATTAACTCTATGCTGTGATTTATCCCACTTTCCAGGGAGTTGCTCACACAGTCTAGTGACTTAGTTGCAGGGAGAGGGGAAGAGCAGCAGACAGCAGAGTTAAAAAGGAAAATTAGAGGTTCAAAATATAGTTAGCTACTGCAGTGTTTCCTAATATATGAAACAGTTTTGACTGGTTGTACTCATGGTTATTATAGGTATGGCAATACAGGGCTTAGGGATTTTGTGCAACATTGCCTTATTGTTATTATTACTATTATTATACAGGATTTATATATAGCTAACAGTTTGCTCAGTGCTTTACAATCTAAAGGGGGACAATACAGTTAGAATACATTATAGACAAATACTTATTCTAGGGTCAACTATCCCTGCCAGATACTACGAGAACAGTAAACAAGTTGTATGGGCATGCTTGTGTTCTGGTGGAAATGCTGGAGAAGAGAAGACAAGTAAGGTAACAGGTGTAATAATTTTTATTAGTACAGGTGGAACCCCTACACTACAGAGTTTATGCTGAGTGTACAAAAAGTGTGCAGCTTTCTTTAACGATGCTAAAATCCTGTAATTATATATGATTGACCTGGTAGGGTTTTTTATTTCTCAGCGTAACTGAGATTTCATTTTAAATGACACATTGGCAGTTATAGGTTCACATTTTTCAGAGATGGTAATTTTTTTGCAGTTTTTTTCCCCAAACAATCTTTACTAAAGATCCATTTAGTGTACAATACAATAAAGTAACATACAGGTAGAGACCCGTGAGGGGTTCCATGTGGAATGCTCCAAGTGACTACAAGATCATGTTAATAATAAATATTTATCAAAAACATCTAGTTGGTCAGTACAAAGTTTTTGTATCTAGCCTGATAACTGATTGGTAATCAGACAATCTAATATTCAGTTAAGAGTAAGGCTGTTTTCACACTGAGGAGTTTTTCAAGCATGTTTGCATTAAAAAAGCACCTGAAAAGCTTAATAAAACTGCTTCCCTGTGTATGTGAATGTATATCTATGTATGTTTTCACATTGAGGCATTACAGTTGCTGTGCGGTGTAAAAACTCCTGCTTGCAGCATCTTTGGGGAGTTTAAAAAAAGACCCCAAAAACACCTCTTCCCATTGAAATCAATGGAAAACGCCTGAAAAACGCCTCTGAGAAGCGTTTTTGGTACAGTTTTAAGTCACGTGTCCTTTAAAAACCGCAACAAAACGTGGCAAAATGCAGTAAAAACACCTATGAGTTTTTGAGGCATTTTTGCAGCATATCAGTGTGAATATAGCTTAAATGGGAGTGTACCATATGGTCGGTAGGAACTTTTAGGGCTATCTGGGAGTTAAAGTGGCAGAATCTCATTCCCGGATGGGGAAGGCAATTTTTTAATAATCAGACAGATCAGTTTTGCGTGGACTGCGCCTAGTGCAATTATATTTGCATATACATTTTTTTCATGTAGTGCACTGTACCCTTTGTATGCTGACACAACAAAACACTGCAGAACTGTAAAGTCTTTTTTGTAATTTCATAACTACAACATGTATTTGCAGCCCTAAATAAATAAATATTTCATATTTCCTTAGATTAAAAAATGCTAATAACCTAAGAAGACAAGTTCATTTAAATCAGTCCATTTTTAAATGACGGCATCTGAAATTCACTTATCCCTATAGCTATAATGATGGACTCTGAACTATAAAGATAATGAACTCTTCACAAAAGATGTATTTTGTAAAATAGACATTTATGAAGAAAATTTGTAGATTGCCAAATACTAACTTTTCATTTTGAAAATGCAACCTACCTGTCCTACTGATTCAGTAGATTTGGTTCTTTCTGAGCCAATGACCTGTAAGCAATATTTTCCTTACTGCATTCTTGTCCTACAGTAGGTCAGTGACTTAAAGTATTGAGATCAGTCACAGACAAGCAGCTCTTATGAGGAGGACAACTATGGTAGCCCCAATATTCTCCCACTATTTCCCTTAAAACTTAAAATTCATTGAGATTGAACTGAAGGAGTGGAAAATACTCACTTACAAAGTTAATGTTGGCTTGCTTAGAGAATATAGTGAATATAGAATATAGTGAAGCTGAATGCCCAGCCATATTGAATAGGATTTAAAAAATAATTCTGCCTTAGAAAACTGAGGTGAGCATGGCTTCACTTCATTCACTAAGCACATAAACACAAAAGTGCACATGCCTAGTAGAAGCGTTCATGCGCTGACTTGGAAGGAAGTCTCCCTGTTTGTGTCACAGACAGAACTATAGGGAGATCAAGCTGTATACTGCTCCTTTTAAAATTGAATAATTCATGTGTTACTAAGCACAGAAAAACACATCACTACTTGTTTTTAAAAATCTGTAAAACATACTTTGCGAGGTTTAGTAGCGGTCATCTCATATACATCAATTGTGTAGTTGGTTCTTCTTCCATATGTATCAAATTGGATATTCCCAGTCATTCCTTGAACTTGAACCTAGAAAATGAACAATTCTATATTTAAGAGATACTAGAAATAATTATAGAGGTTGATAAAAAGACCATGAAAAAATACAATTTACCGTCTTTAAAAAGGTCTACTAACATGGGTACTGTACATGTAAAAACTACAGTGCTTGTATAGGAGGTAGTTGATATTATTTAACCAGTGTACTAGTTTATACTAGAGAGAGAGGGTCAAGGTTCTGGAAGAATTGTAATTGACTTCTAAAGCTCCAGGCTTTATCTCAGCAGCAGGACAGTCCTCAGGGAATGCTAAGACTGCACTGCCAATGCTGACAAATGTTATAGCCCCAGTTCATTATAGTGCAACTCGACGGACAATTTATGTTGATGCACATGTGTATATGGCCTAAAGCTCACTTTTCTTTTCCATATTTATCTGCAAATCACTATTAGTAAGTGGAAGTTACTTTTATGGAAATCATGTAAAAATATTTCAGAGATCTAGTGATAATTGCAGCTTAAAGTTTATGCTTAGGAAAAATAAACACATCCAGTACATCTCAGCAATACATGTAAATTTCCCCAGGATTTGTTTCTTTAAAAAATGCTGCAAGTACAGTAAAATACCTGATGATCCTGACAGAAATCCGGTAAGCTCATAACTTGCTGAAATTGGCAGACAATCTGCCTCTGCTGCGCTAAAAACACAATTCTTCCCTGCTGGTTTACAAAATACTGTAGCTCACCCTTATGGTAAAAGGATGAGGAGAGGTGGATGTGTTTTGTAGTCCAGTAATAATGAGCTTGGTAGATCTGACATCATTGCTTGGGACTTCAGTGCAGCAGAATCAGTGTTGTTAGATCAACTGGTATTTTTCAGTGATTCTAGCACTTTAAAGGGCCAAATCATGGGGTGGTGTGCATGTATTGCAGTGATATGCTGAATCTTTTTTATTTAGGTTTGCCCAGGAATACTGTCCTTTGTAAGCACTATACAAGTCCCAGTCTTTCCAGAAAATGTCTATTGGCCAGCCCTTTCCTACCATCTGCATTTTCCTAATAAATAATATAAGGTGTGGTCTTTCTGACCAATATAGACCAAATGGAAAGAGATGGAGCTAACGTTTGAATTTTAGGAGAAAAATATGAGTTTTTTTTTTATATGATTTAGGTGTCTGTTTATGACACAGAGAATAGCTGCGATTCAACGGATCTCAGCTATTCTCTGGTCATTCACAGTTTATGACACTCAGGAGATCATGTCTGCCCTTCGCTGGAGATCTGTGTTCTCCCTCCAGATTCTCCAGCCCAGAGCTGGAGAATCAGAGGGACCGCAAAACTAAGCAGAGATAATTTACCTCTGCTTAGTAAACTGATCTTTTACTGTAATCTTGCGAGATTATAGTAAAATCAGCCGTTTTCCAGAGTTTGTAGACCGTTCTCCAGCGTTTGGAGACCGTTCTCCCTTCGTTCGGAGAACTGCTTCATAAACTGCATTCACAGGAGAACTGTGTTCTCCGAGAATGCCGGAGAACTGAGCAGCGATCTATTACCGCTGGTTCATAAAAGGACACCATAGAGAGAGGGGACTTTATATAGCACTGAAAAAGACACATATTCTCATTTAAATCATTTCCAAATTTTGTTCTATAGTTTGTTAATATAACTTGGAAGTACTTTTTTCTACATTGTATGTTACATATCTGGGGGATATGATAACCATAAGAACTAAAATATTTGTAACAGGTGAATTCCAATTCTCTCTTTGATTGTTAGAGGTTTTTTCCTAAAAGTTTAGTTACTATTATTGCTGAATTTATTTAGACACATTTTGCATCAGAATGTAATGTCTATGTATACATTATTCCACATCACATTTAAATTGTTGAGAATTGTGGCAAATTTACTGTAAACCAACTTGATATTTATTTTTACTAGCCCAATGAATAATAACAATATTACCATTTTGAAAGTACATATAAACCCTAATTTGTCGTAATATAGTTTGTCAAAATTTGCTTTCACCTTTTTTATCCTTTGTTGCAGATCAGTGCACTTCCTGTCTAAATGCATGCACTCTAGCAATGTCTGCATGGCATTTTATAGGGAGAGATGCCTGAAGATGACAACAGTGGAACATGCCTATGTAGTGGGTGCTCAAATGGCTACTTGTGGTCCTCAGAGGAAACATATTAGTTAGAGTGACAATGCAGGAGCACAATTTGGAGACAGGTTAATAGAATTGTCATCCTAAAACAGAAAGGGTTGATTTACTAAAACTGAAGAGTGCAAAATATGGTGCAGTTCTGCATAGAAATCAATTAACTTCCATTTTTTTATTGTCATAGCCTAATTGAACAGGCTGCAGTTAAAAGCTGATTGGCTACCATGCACAGCTACACCAGATTTTGCAATCTCCAGGTTTAGTAAATCAAGCCCAAAGTGTCTGAACAGTGACCTTCATAGCAGGGTCATCAGATTTTATTTCCATTAAAGCTGCAGACTTGGTTTCATTGGGTCTACATATGTTTTCAACACTCACATCTGTATATACTTTAATGTGAACACAAACATTAAATGGTAATGGTTTTAAATTGGTTAATTGACTAAGTCATGTCTTCTTCGTTCGTGATGACTCTTGCATTCTTTTTTTCAAGGTCTATTAGGCATGATTTGCTTCATAATAAAATTATGTAGTTGTGTCATGATACAGTTAATTGTTTACGTTATTATATAGTACATAGTGAGACACAGATAATCATTCTTGCATGAAATTAAAGTGACTCCCCGCTCTTCATGTTTTTGTAGACCAGGATGCAGATCATCTCCGACCCCTTTTGACTGTTCTGTAATACTGTACTGCTCAAAATGTCACAACATGGTAGACATTTAATACAGAATCCTGTCAACGTATCTGAAAAAATACATGACTACTGTATAACATAGCTCAAAATACCTGACTGATGAAAAATCACATTTGCATGAAGAATGGGTATTACATTTTCTAAAAGATTTACAAATATATTTTTCTGTAGTATATTCTAGTTGATATTTCTGGGACAATTCATAAGGGAAATGGCATTTTTTTTTTCTGTTTCTGTTTATCTTTTGTTCAATAATTTCTACAATGTTTTGTTAACATTTTATTGGCAGTAATTGTCTGACGGATTGGAAGGCTGGCAGTTCTGGTATTTGCAAAAAGTCCATTTTGTCTGTAACTAGTGAGCTCATTTAATTTTCCCATCCTAATTTGGTCCTGATATAATAAAACACTGAAGACCTATATCTTACTTCTTTATTTAGCTTAGCAGAAGCTACTTATTTACACACTTGTGGGCTGGTTTGCTTGTTTTTAGTTTGTAGTTTTCAGTAGATGGGACAAGTTTTCTACCAATACAAACTAAATTATCAAAAGGCAAAGCTTTCAGATCATTCTTTGGGATGGAATCATACTAATGAAAGTTAATTTTTAGAGCTGGAATGTACATGTCTTGCTCAGTATAGAGTATATCTGGCTATTTCCTCCATGTGTAATGAGCAATAGGATTAGTCTACCTCTTGAACATTGTTATTAAAAAAATGGGTAATTGCAGTGAAATCTCTCATTTGAAATCTCTGGCTCACAAAAATACCTGCCTCACAAAGACAACTTAACTCTGTATTGTGGAGTTTCTTTGAGCATTCATTGCAGGTATAAAGAACAAATTATAAAAAAATAAAATGAGAAAAAAAAGCCTGAAGCAATTGAAATCATCCATGTAAAAGTAATTAGCTAAGCTACTGAAGCAATCTTTTATATACTTGGCCATATAACAGTAAGCAATATAAACAATATACTTTTTTTTAAACATTTGTAACAGAGAGATTAGGTACCATTTATAAGGTTCTGATTATTGTGATGATTTGCCAAACATTCAAACTTTCATCGCTTAAAAAAAAATGACATATTAATATCTAGTTTCAGTGACGATGGAGGAGTGTTTGTTTGTTAAAGGATCTCAGTGTTTTAGATTAAACAGGCAAGCCATGAATGTAAAAGATAGGACATGTGACCCATCTGAGGATTGCTCATAGACAGTTTGTTCAGATTTTGAAGTACATACAGTACGTAAGGCCACATCCATTTTAGCTGGTATATACAATTTGCTGTGGTTCCTTTTTCCTTTTTCTCCTGTATCACAGGATGGTGGTCATACATGAACAGTCTTCTCACCAAGACTGATGGGTGGTAGTAAATCTGCCCATTCTTGTACTTGATCAAGGCAGCAGTTAGCAATAGTTGTGTTGGTATACTGTAGTATAAAAAAATAATAATAATAAATAAATCCCCCCCAAATGTGGTTAAGCACCTGGAGTTTGCTAATTAGTTAATACTGCTGAAACCTACTATGATTTCCTTCGAATGACAAATGATGCCTTGTTATATATGGACTTTGAAAGTATAATTTTTTGGAAAAAAAAAGGCAATGGTCAAATAAAAAATAATCACTTACATTTCCCAATATATTGGAGAATCTCTGTGTCAAGATGAATAGTTACAAGGATTTGGAGTGGTTATTATTACCCAGTACAGAGAAGTTCAAATTGTTTGCATGGCTTGTACATATTGACCCTCATTTACTACACTTACATGTAACTAAAATGGGAATTGAATTGTTACACCACTGCTAAAAGGTCCAGATACAACTTTATTCCATAAAAGTCAGGGGGACAATCCAAAGGGTATCCAACACGTTTCAGTGGTCTAAAAATGTCACCTTCATTATTTGCCAAATCAGCTGCTGACAAAGCATGTGCTTGTAATCACACTAGAAGAAATAACAATAAATTCATTTTAATTTCAGAAATCCAGTTAATTTCTAGTCCATTCTCATTTTCATCAATTAAGCCCTGATGAATAGGGCATTCATTGTGAACCCCCCAAATGCATTGGCTAATATTTGGGTTGTTCCCCTTGACTTTTATTGACATAAACTTGTACCTGGGCCTCCTAGCAGTGGTGTGGTGTGGTGTTTTGTTTGCACATGAGCA